AGATTCAGGCATTTACAATCTTGATCTTATGAGGCTTCAATAGCGCTCACTGAGGTGGACCAGCTAGAGCTATCGAATCTACTCGGTTTGGAATAGGAATGAGCTCAGTATGCTGAGGTGGTAGGTGAAGATTGGCTTACCTAAAGGAATGCAAGCAGAGACTTAAGGTGTCCTGTGGGCTATCTGTTCAGGAGGCATACCTTTGAAACTGAAAGCCAGTATGCTGGGTAAGAGAAGTTGTAGGGTTATTATACCTTTTCTATTAACTAAAATAGATGGCAAGAAAATAGCCAAAAAGCTCTGCAAAGGAAGTACAAAAGAGACTTGTAACAGCCAGAAACTCTTGATGCACTCAATACCAGCTTTATCACAGGTGACGAACATTGTACACTTGGCACTAGCAGCTGTGTTTTCTATCGTCCTGTTTCTGATCTGGCAAGGTCCCTAACCAACCTCCAGTAAAAATCCCAGTCAGCATAAAGAGGGACATCATAGAGGCTTCATCTGCTACAAAGATGCGATTGAAGAGCTTCTTGTGCTACAAAATGAAATCTATGTGATTTGGACTACTACAATGAGAAGGAAAAGGAAGAAAAATATTTCTGTACTGAACAAGATCACAAGTGATGGAGGGAACAAAGGTCAGTTCACAGAGGTTGCATCCTCTCTGAAGGAACTTCAACTGGAACGTTGAGCTTTGAGCTTTTTCGATCAATACTTGTGTCAGTCTGCTTATGCTCGTGATTACTGTCCCAACAGTCTCACCCTTAGTGGACGCTGGACACATGGTGTCATTGACTGCGTCTGATAGCTCTAGACTCGGAGTATGAGAGCTCACGTGCCGGTGAATAGCGATAATGATTGATAGTCATGGATAGAACTACTGGTATAATTACAAACTAATCAAGATCCATAATCAAGAGAATTATATTTACATCAATGAACACACTGTGGATGAACATAGACATAGAGACACAGGGCCCCAACTATCAACAATAGGGTGGCGGGTCTCCTTTTTATGTATAGCTAACATTTCAGGTGATGTAGGAGGTCTGAACATGGTACAAGTCCCATGTTTCATCTTCATATGACTGTAATATCCAGGGCAACACAATCTTTATGGTACCATTGCTTGCACTGATCAAAGTGCAATCATGGGCCTCTGACTGTATCATTTGGCATTCTGCACACATACAAATAGCGCTTTTCGGATTGACTTCTGATTCAGATCCATATGACAATAGCTTCTATTGGATTGAAAAATTTCAAGGTTGTCCAGTACTGTGGGGTGGCATAGCCCTGGTCATCCATTTCCTCCCTTTGTCCTTTTCCGGATTTTCTCCCAATGCAATTCGGCGTTGACTACTGAAATCTGGTCAATTTCCGCTCTCGACCAGAGGAGCAGGTGTTGTGCGCAGCGGAACTAGTGTCACTACATAGTGTAGGATCACAGAATGGGCCAATTCCGTTGTTGCCAAACAGCTGCTGCAACTCCACTCCAAACTCATTGAGTTACGGCTGTCTCATGATATATCGGACAACATCGAAATGCAAAACTGAGGAATCAGACTGCAAAAATGAACAAACGGTTTTTTACGAACCGTGGGGTCACATTGAGTGGTCGCAGGGAATCATAGTATGTGACAGATTTTTGCATGCATCTTTTCCATTATTTTAAGATTGAAAACAAAGCCCAATGGCAATCTGATATGTGAAGGATTTGGATGAATGCTGAATGTTTGGGTAGAGGTTAAATGCATCAAATTTCCTAGCTGTGTGCTCTGCCCACCCCCCAATTTTTCCTCGTGTTGATCACTGAGTAAGCATTGCACTGCGACATGTGGCTGCACTAACCATTCATGTTTTGACTTCAGACTTTTTTGTCGCTCATAGAGGTTGAGTGAGGAAATCCAAACATTACCTCCTTAGCAGGACTTGATGACAGTGTGATGATGATATCGTTTTGGAGAGGGAGGCTGGGTGTGGGTGGTTTGGGACAATTAGAGGAAGGTTCAGATGAGGGGATTTAGGAGAGGAAGGGTCGGCGTGATGTGATTGGAAGGTATGGCTTGGATATGACAGATTTGGGAGGCTTGGACAAAAAAAGCGTAGATGGGATGTTGAGAGGGTTGGAGGAGGGGGTAGTGGGAGATTGGAGGAGGAAATGGTTGGGTGAGTGGAGAGGTTGGAGATTGGAGTTGAGAGGTTGGAGGAAGATAGAAGGGGGTGAGTGGGGCGTGGAGGAGGAAGGCTTACAGAGGATGACTGAGGAGGGTGAAAGACTTAGATGAGGATGATTGAAGGAGCGTTGGAGGAAGGCATAGATGAGGATGATTGAGGAGCGTTGGAGGAGGAAGACATAGATGAGGATGATTGAGGAGCTGTTGGAGGAGGAGACATAGATGAGGATGATGAGGAGCGTTGAGGAGGAAGGAAGACATAGATGAGGATGATTATGAGGAGCATTGGAGGAGGAAAGACATAGATGAGGATGATTGAGGAGCGTTGGAGGAGGAAGACATAGATGAGGATGATGAGCGTGGAGGAGGAAGACATAGATGAGGATGATTGAGGAGCGTTTGGAGAGGAAGACATAGATGAGGATGATTGAGGAGCATTGGAGGAGGAAGACATAGATGAGGATGATTGAGGAGCGTTGGAGGAGGAAGACATAGATGAGGATGATTGAGGAGCATTGGAGGAGGAAGACTTAGATGAGGATGATTGAGGAGGGTTGAAAAAGGATGGCTTGGATGTGACCGGTTTGGGGAAAACAGGCTTAGACGAGGATAATTTGGGAGTGTTGGAGAAAGAAGGGGATGATTTGGAGGATTTGACTTACGTGACTTAGATAAAGATGATTGAGGAGGGTTGGAGGAGGATGGTTTGGATGTGACAGTGACCAATGAGGGTGATATGGAGGTGTTAGAGGAAGGTTTTTTGTGGCTGATGGATGTTTGGGATGTTGGCATTTGTAGTGGTGGAGGATGAGCTGCAAAGTACACATATTGATAAGCGATCCATCTCCAATAAATCGAATGCACTTACCAACAGTGACTAAAGCATGTAAATATTCATGCACAGCTGGGGTGAATGTCTCCACAGTGCCAGATGTGGCAATGATCTGTGCATACTCCTTATGGAAAGCCACAGCAAAGCCTTTGAAGCCAAGACCATCCAACTCGTCATACTACAAAAGAGGAGTGAAAAACAACCTATAAAAAGGGTTGACTGCTGAACCTATAGAACTCAGGCCCACACACTTACTGGGGAACCTAGAACCCAGGCCCACACACTTACTGGGGAACCTAGAACTCAGGCCCACACACTTACTGGGGAACCTAGAACCCAGGCCCACACACTTACTGGGGAACCTAGAACTCAGGCCCACACACTTACTGGGGAACCTAGAACCCAGGTCTACTAACTCCACTGGGGAACCTAGAACCCAGGTTCACACACTTACTGGGGAACCTAGAACTCAGGCCCACACACTTACTGGGGAACCTAGAACTCAGGCCCACACACTTACTGGGGAACCTAGAACTCAGGCCCACACACTGTAGTGGGAACTAGAACTCAGGCCCACACACTTACTGGGGAACCTAGAACTCAGGCCCACACACTTACTGGGGAACCTAGAACTCAGGCCCACACACTGACTGGGGAACCTAGAACTCAGGTCCACACACTGACTGGGGAACCTAGAACCTAGGCCCACTAAACCACGGGAGAGGGAACCTAGAACTCAGGCCCACACACTTACTGGGGAACCTAGAACTCAGGCCCACACACTTACTGGGGAACCTAGAACTCAGGCCCACACACTCACTGGGGAACCTAGAACTCAGGCCCACACACTCACTGGGGAACCTAGAACCTAGGCCCACTAAACCACGGGAGAGGGAACCTAGAACTCAGGCCCACACACTTACTGGGGAACCTAGAACTCAGGCCCACACACTTACTGGGGAACCTAGAACTCAGGCCCACACACTCACTGGGGAACCTAGAACTCAGGCCCACACACTCACTGGGGAACCTAGAACTCAGGCCCACACACTCACTGGGGAACCTAGAACCCAGGCCAGATATTCACCAGCAATACTACTCGCACTAAACCAGCTCTTCTGAAATAGTTTCTCTGCTGTTTTTCGCCCCATCCCGTCATTCCACTTGCATATAGGGATAGAAGAGTCCCAATTTATGCTGTCGGGAAAAGGACATTCTCTAGTGGTAGCAGACATGTCTCGCAGAGCCGACGGCAGCCGCTGGCCGGGGGAGAGGCTGACTAACGGGCCACGTTGACGGAAGGGCGGGAAAGGGTTAAATTGCAAACGTAGATCTACCGGGAATCTTTCCACAGTGCACACGGAAAAGGTTCCCGCGAGTTTCCAGTAACGCACTGAACGGAAGTTTCCGTATCGGGTGGATGTGTCTTATATAAATGCGCGCTTAATTTTAAGCGCACTCGTCCAATGTGCTGACTCAGCAAAAACGTCATCACTCAACAAGCGGGGTTGTCTTGTTTTGCAGACGTGTAGACGGCGAGCGAGACACAAAGAATAATGGCGTACATGTCAGGAGGTAAGTCACCGTACTAGGGTCGCGGTAGTTCGTCAGTCTATCCCACACAGGGAAGTTAATGGCTAGCAAGCCGTGGTGGACTGTGGACGGCATGATAGACATGTTCTGGGCCGTTATCAACTTCTGCGTCCTCTTGTAAGTCCTTCTAAGACGACGCTATTGATGCTCACGTGATCTCCACCCCTAGTCTGAGGACGCTAGTAAGTCCAGGGATCAGTAAAGACGGCAACAGTCACGTGACAGACTACAGAAGAAGTGGAAAGTGAGTTTACCCCATTTGCCTTTTCCTCTCTCCTCTTTATCTCCCAGTTTCCAATTTGCAAAAATTTTGACACATTTTTATCATAACTCTGTAGACCTGTAAAATCAGACCTGTAACCTTGTACAACATTTGTCCAGTGTGTATATACAATCTCATGTTGTGTGTGTGTGTGTGTGTGTGTGTGTGTGTGTGTGTGTGTGTGTGTGTGTGTGTGTGTGTGTGTGTGTGTGTGTGTGTGTGTGGTGTGTGTGGTGTGTGTGTGTGTATGTGTGTACCTCAGGGCAGAGAGAGGGAGGAGGATGGGAAGGATAGGAGGAGGAGGAAAGAGTGGTGGTGGCGGCCCCAGCCCTCCACCGATGGGTGGTGGATGAGGAAGGTGATAACCTTACTCCCTGGGCTTATAGCGGGATGTAGAAATCTTCAGTAGTTGTGTGTAGTTTTGGCCAAATTTTGGCCTTTCAGCTGCTTTAATGCCAAATACAAGATATTTTATTCACTGGAGCCAACTGAATTGTAGGAAAAGATCTCACTGGTGTCCCTAATTTTGGACCCCTCGCCCTCGAAATATTACGGAGAAAGTATTTTCAGATGTTCACGCACCTCGAAACTTGTGAAAATTAATATTCCTCTCTCAAACTCTATCTCAGTGACCTATTTCTGTTGTTACTCTTCAGGTAAGTGTCTGTTGCTAGTGGATGATGTCACTGTGATGTCATCAGCAACAGGCACTCAAAAATCTCTCCCCCCTCTCACACTTCTCACACTCCATGACGACCAGCCAGGAAACCACTCATATAGTTGGCTGTCTGGTCTGATGAAATAGTGTGAACTCCTGCATATTGTGACTGCAAGAAAATTATCTTCACTGATGATGTAATGTAACATAAGCACTGTAAAAATACTGAAAGTGACAAATTAAAAACATTGCTGATTGAATATAACGTTTCGGTGATGATGTAATCACTGGCTCATGCTCGGTCTTCAGATTGGGAGTGATAGAAGATGTGACGACGATGGTGTGAGGGGGAGGGGGAGGGGCTTGGAGTTGACTCTGACTTGCGCCGTGTCCCGTACCCAGTCAGCGGGAATGACATGGTACGGGGACGCAGCAAGGGGCTGGTCTGCTCCACGGACAGCATCCTCGTTAGCGTCTTATCAAGGGGGTTCCCCGCCGTCAATATCTTCCCTCCGGTGGAGCTTTTCTCTGCCTGAAACGAACGAAACTCTTTTGACAGGTGTTTCAGTTGATTGTGGCGTAGGTCGAATCTTTGTACTGCGGCGAGGTCAGTCACACCGCGAGGTAGCTCTGTTATCAGGTTGTCATGGAGAATAAGATGCTCTAGGGTTGCCAGTCTTCCAATGTCTTGGCTGAGTGTCTGCAGATTGTTGTTGTTGAGGTAGAGGACCGTGAGGTGAGGCAGAAGGGTTAAAGAGTCGGGGAAAACACTGATTTGGTTGTGGTCCAGGTGGAGTCGCTGTAGCAATGAGAGATTGGTGATGTCATCGGGAATCTCGGGAATGCGATTATGACTGAGCCAGAGAGTGTGGAGGGAGGGGAGGGAGCAGACTGCCGTGGGAAACTGGCTAAACTGGTTTTCCTGGAGGAAGAGTTGGTGGAGATGGGAAAGACGGGGAAGGAAGGGAGGGAGGGAGGTGAGGAGGTTGTGGCTGGCCCACAGTCTCTTCAAGTGGATCAGATCACACACCTGATGAGGGAGAGAACCAGAGTATTATAGAGACTATACACTCTGCTTTATACAGTGGAGCCTGTTGAGACCGGGCATTTTGTACTTTTTTGGTCTCAGGACCGGAGAAAATCACAATTTGAGGCCAAATCCAGCAAAAGGTTTTGCATCCAACCAAGAACATCGTTCGTTTGTAAACCGGCACCCCACATTGATGCAATTGGGCAGCTTTCATGTGTGTGTGCAAACTGCGCAGGGACACTGACTTCACTAGGCAGCTGAGTGAGAGGAGGTCGCCGTGGTAACTGCTCATCTTGGCCACACCCACCGTACAAGTCCAGCATCCTGATTCCATTCACCTGTAGAATATGTTTCAAAAGTAAACGTTACTCATAGGGTATTGGGTACGTACCTCCGTAACAAACACCTTCCAAAGTACGGCCTCCCCTTCCGAGTTGACTGTCTCTATGACGACATGCTCGGGGGTGTGGTCAGGTGAGAGTAGGGAGTCTAGTGACGCCTGTTGACGTACCTGAGGATCACGTGAGCCGTGTAAACATGTGTTTTGTTCGATGGTGCATGCATGCAAGATACCGGGGTAAACACGGGTGTGTGGACGTTCGGTGTAGCCGCCTGTGTGTAGATACGTGTGTGTAAGTAAACAACGCACCAGCTGTTTGGTATGTTTGGCGCGGGCGTTGAGTCGCGGTAGAGCCGGTTGGGAGGTGGCGCGCCCCGGCATCGATCTTTCTCGCCCCCCATGCCCAGTCGCCGCCATAATCTCCGGCTACTGCTCCGGTCCGTTTCTTCGTCTCCCACAACGGCGTACGCACACGCCCGACCGTAGAACCACTACGAGCCTCATCCGTGAAACATGACCGGGATTCGATCGGTGACGATACGCTACTGCACTGTATATCACATTGACCCTAACAATACTCGTCGTATAATTGTTTATACACTACAAATTTGATTGTGATTACACACAATACTTAGCGACGGCTAAAAGCCTCCACTAACAGCCCTAGTTTCCTGCGTGTTCCCCAACTGGCTGGTAGGCACCACCTGCGAGGAGAAAAGACAACAGGAGTAAGATATCCAGAGATCGCTTTTGGTAATGCTCTGACATTATAAGTATATACGAGGCAGAACAAAGTGTGGCCCTTATAGAGAGGTGTCCTCTATCTGGAGGGTGGTTTTCTCACTGTATTTCTATGTACATTACCAGCAGTGGAGGAGCCTGGCATGCCAGGTCGGGTACGGAAGTAGATGGAGACACACGACAGAGCAATGGTGAAAGGTTTTGCGACGAGATTCAGGATCATCATTCTGTATGACGCACACCACCAGTCAAGGAAGACAGGGAACCATTAATGAGTATATAGTATAGCCTCATCCCAAGGATTAAGCCCTCAACACACAATTTGGAGCATACAAAGCCAAGGGTTAGAGGTCATAGTTGTAAGAGGCTGGGGAAGAAGATGGAACATGAGGAAAGACAAATTGCTTTATGTGTGTGTATAGTGCTTGATAGTACAGAACAAGGAGAAATGAATGGGAAAGGGAGGCAGTGGAAAGGATACCCAGCTGAAAATCTCCACATTCCTTCAGCACCATCTGCAAGACAAAGAAGGAGATAGACTTCACAAACATCTCCTACAACTTACTGTTATAATGGTCGAATGTGTCACTGGCATTTGAGTAGTTGGCTCCTAGCATGATGATGTCATTGAGAGCACTCACCACCACCACAAACATGAACTAAGTACACACAAAACACTATCGTGCATGTGTTTGACTCCTTACACAGGTTGAACCTATCCCCAGCATACATGTACATACTTTAGGGGAAACAAGGCACCTGACTTAGATACAATTTATAAGGGGTGAAGAGCAACGCATGTACCACGGCGACAGGAAGGATATTTTCTTTGTCCTGGAGTGTCCAGATCCCGACGTAAAAGAAGATGATGTTGTAGAAGATGTAGGTGAGTGGGAGCCATATGCTGGCCTTGGCCACAACTGACATCGTCTCCAGCATTGCACTGTACGAAATAATGAAACTCTCTCTCACTCTTGATGTCTGTCTCTTCAAAAAACTTACAAGTTGGTCATCACAAAGTGCGCGGCCAGAGGTACCTGCAGGTGTGGAGGTCGACGTAAACACGTTCAGTGGCAAGCTAACAAGAAGCTAGAACACGGAAACAAGCTCAGGTGATAAGTAGGAGTGCACCTACACAAGTACGTACATAAGTACTATAAGAAAAGAAATGTGGTGAGCGGTGCGGGATCTACTCACCATGATTGGTACCACTGGTAGTAGATTGGCCATTGCAGGGCCCAGCTTGTCTCGCATCGACATGATTCTCTTGCTCTCTCTTCTAGTCGTCGTACATACAATTAATTAACGGCGACCCCGTGACCTTGAGCACGTGAGCTCGCTTTCCAGAAAATGCGCATCATAATAATTATGCGCGCGTATATACGGGTAGGGCAATCTTATTAGGTAAAGCTCCATACAAAGATGACAAACGCAAACGACGATTAATGGACAACACAGCAAGATGACCATTACCAACCAGTATAAAATATTTTTAGCAAATCAGTTAGTATCATGTGCTTCCAACACTCTGATACGTGCCATCGCGGGACTGGGCACCACCTAAAGAGAGAGGGGAGAGGGAGAGAAGGGATAGAAGAGAAACTGACAGTTTGGTTCATGTTAATTCACCAGTGGAGATGCCAGTTCTGACGCGGAAGAAGATGGAGACAATGGACAGGGCAATGGTGAAAGGCTTGCCAACAAGGTTGAGTATCATCATACTGTATGTAGACCACCGGTCAAGGAGGGAACTTAGAAAATTGAAAGCTAATTCACACAGCGAAATATTATGTGGAAGACATGTGCAATTGATTATCACCATGTTAGTATAATATAGTAACCACATTATTTTGTAGTAGAGTATATAGCAACAAAGCATTCCTGATATATTTTAAGGAGGTATATATTATAGTAATGGGGATACCCAGCTGAGAACCTCCACAGCCGCTCAAAGACATCTAGAGAGAGAAGGTAATGGTATGATAATCCACGCACAAAACATCGACAAAGAAACTTACTGTTAAAACGGTCAACATAATCAAGGGAGTTTGAATAATTTGCCCCCAACATGATCACATCACTGACTGCACTCACCACTACCACAAAAAGAAACTATATACAAGAGAAATGGGTTAACAATGTGTTGGTTAAATGTGGGAAATAAAACGCTTTGCTTAGTAAAGAGCCGTGGGTGTTATGCAAGGCCGCACACTTACCACGGCGACAGGAAGAACTCCATCCTTATCCTGGAGCGTCCAGATGCCGACTTGGAAGAAGACGATGTTGTAGAATATGTAGGTGAGGGGGAGCCAGATGCCGTTGCTGATATTTGTCTCGGTGTCAACAACCGACATCATAGTTACCAGCATCGCACTGAGTAGAGAAGACAGTATTGGAACCATGCATATCTATACTCCGACTGAAGCTTACAAGTTGACCAGAACGAAGTGCCCAGCCAGAGATAACTGCAAGAAGAGAAGAGTGAGAATGGTTAGTTGCAGCGTCCGCCCTACGTGTCCCATAAAACAGCTAGCTAGGAAACTGCCATCCCCGTTGGTTGAAGCCCGTTACTGCAGACGAGACTCCAAGAGCTAAAAATCGAGCGGGGATTGCTGTTGGCCGTAGCAAGCACTCACCAGGATCGGGGCAGTTGGTAGCAGTTTCATCAGCGTAGGCCCCAGCTTCTCACGCAAAGACATGATTCCTCTCTCTGTCAGTCTCTAGCTTGCACCTATATATAGCCCTTTCTCTATTAGCTCGCTCGCGCGCTATCTTTCTTGGCGCCTGGCCTATAGCTCTCTCGATCAATTATAGTAGTAGTGCGCGTGTTGCGCGCGTGACTCTCTTTCAAGGTGCGCATGCGCAATGAAGGAATAACGAAGACCACAAACACTTTTTCTTTTTCTCATGCGCATGCTGTCCGGGCTGTTCGTACCACTTAGTGGCATTCGCTAAAAAAATTAGTCTCCTGTGTGTCCGGGCAAACTGTCGTATGCACCAGGATTCGTTTCACCATCACCTAAGAGGAGACACAGAGAGAGATGAAGGGGAAAGAAATGGCATACTTTGCTGTATATATATATATATATATAATTATACCAGTGGAGAAGCCAGTTCTGATGCGGAAAAAGATGGAGACACAGGACAGGGCAATGGTGAAAGGCTTTCCAACAAGGTTGAGTATCATCATACTGTATGTAGACCACCGGTCAAGGAGAAAACAGCAACAAGCAAGAGAGAAAGAGAAATGCTGGAGATTTTTGCACATCAACCACACTGCACTTGCAATATAAAGAGAAAGGGTAGGAGGGAGATTGTGGTATGGATACACAGATGAAAACATCCAAATATGCTCAAACCCGTCTAGAGAAAGGAGAGATGACAAGAGATAAGATAAACCACACCCACAAAACATTACTACTCACTGTCCATGGGGTCGACATAGTCAATGGCATTGGAATAGTTGGCCGCTAGCATGATGACATCACTGATTGTACTCACCACCACTGCCACAATGAACTGTAAAAAAAATAGAGTTGGGAGTTGCCTCGGATTTTCAACAACTAGCTCAGCTTGTGAAATCCTAGCTTCAATCTAATCCCACAATCCTCGAGTTAGCCAGTTACCAGAAACACCAACAAAGGTCTTTGCCCATCCACCGCAGGAACTTAACAAACGTCTCGTGAAGGCAATAATAAATGTGTCGTGTGTACGTAAATAAGAAGGCCGTGTGTCTTAGAGAGAGTGCATGCTTACCACAGCAACAGGAAGAACTTCATTTTTCTTCTGGAGTGTCCAGATGCCAAGTTGGAAGAAGATGATGTTGTAGAATATGTAGGTGAGGGGGAGCCAGATGCCGTTGCTGTAACCTGTCTCGTCGTCAGAAGTTGCAGTCATTGTTGCCAGCATGGCACTGCAAGCAGCAAAGATCGTATGAAAAATTGCTTCGATTTACACCGATTCTTACAAGTTGACTAGTATGAAGTGGCCCGCCAGTGATATCTGTGAGAAAGAGGATGGAACGGTTTTCTCGTTGTTACCTGACAACCGGAGCTAGCGTAATAGCTATAGCCTAGCTACCTTGTTTCCATGTTCGCCCGCACATTTAGCTAGGGGCTGACAGCTATTCGAGTATGCTAGGCGGCATCGTCAAGTCTTCATTGTGACGTTCGCCTCTCGTGGGTTGACGGGCAAGATAGCAGGTTACACTCACCAGGATAGGGGCAGTTGGTAGCAGGTTCGTCAGCGTAGGCCCCAGCCTCTCTTCCAAAGACATGATTGGCCTCTCAGCTCTCCGTCTTACCGCCGCGCTATAATATGCGGTGTGTTGATTCTGAAGTGCGCATGCGTATAAAGAATAATTACGTGTGTATGTATATATAAATGAGGGAAATATCCTAAGTTGGGGGAGAATGGTGTTGGTCCACGTCATCATATGCATCACGTCTCCCTACAGAAAAGAGTTCCTCTCTAACACACACACACAAGAGTACAATACATTAGCTACTATATATAATTATATACATACCGGTCCCAAGGAAAGGAAGGGAGGCTCCAGACTTGAGATAGGCAGCGACAACAGCCAGTGCAATAGTGAGCGGCTTCAACAGGAGCGAAAGGATCATCATTCCTGCAGAAAACTGCCAGGTCCTAGCTTCCTGTGTCTCCCCACCACCATGTAAATCCTGGTTGTCTTCAAAATAGAGTCCGAGTTGGATGATGTCCATAAGCACAGTTATAGCCACTACCACAATGTACTGCAGTAATGTCACACACACACAGTCGTTACTCATGTGAAACACCCTTGTGTATTCAATGGTATATAGCAGTAGTAATGAATAATGTGGGAGTGAAATTACCCAAACATGCTCTCTTATAACCATAGTCTCCTGAGACTAGTGTATAGTGTGACGAACAAGGAGGAAATAGTGACACATGGGTTCACACAGCAAAGTCAATAGCTAGAGCAGAGAAAGGGAGAGTAGTATACAGTTGGATGGGGAAAGGGACGGGGAGAGTTTACCATAATGATAGGGAGGAGTGTGTCTCGGTGGTGCACCGTCCAGGCTCCCGTCAAAAACAGGAAAAAGTGGGAGAATAAAAACGTGACGGGCAGCCAGCTATCAAGCAAAACACTGCAATTTTGCAACAGATTACATCTTAACCATCGTGGGTGTATACCGCGACTCACAAGCACACGAGGACGAAGTGCACGACCATCGGGACCTGCGTGTGACAGACAAGTCTCCAGAACAGCCAAGTAGCTGTACTTACTAACCAATATCGCCAGCAGCGGTAGAAGTTTAGTGATTTTGGGCATCGTACCCGCAGAATCTCCGTCTACGGACCCTCGATCAGCCATGATCCCTTAGTCGCCAGTGGAACGCTAACCAAAACTTGATCCCTCACACTGTTGACGCCCTCGGAAGATATGCAGCTTTGCGCTCTGCAGAATTTGCCACCACGCATGCGCATAGTTATCGCAGATCAACGACATCAGCACCTGAGACAACAGTATCTCTCGCAGATAATAATACATACATACGGAGCCATTGTGTGCGCAGAGCTATATTAGGTGTGTGCGTGGCGTTGGTGAAAGAAGTAAAACAGGAGATCTGAGAGAGAAGCATCTAGACTACATTGGCAGTAAATTGTCATCTTTCTCGTCTTCAGAGTCACTAGCTGCACCAAATGTTGGCTCCTTCTGAAAAATAGAGAGATTAAACCTCAAAAGAAGAACACATTTTCAAGAAGAACACTTGGTTCTACCTGATAGTGTATTATATGACCTTTGAGTCTGAATAAAGGACACTTTCGATGTCCCAAAGGTCACGGTGTCCCTTATTCACCCCCAGCCCCTGTTATAATGAGCCACTCACATATTCCACCACAGTTCTCGGTCGACTGCGGCAAACGTAGTCGCACCCGTCAGCCATCAGGTTACCAAACTCCCGATAGAACGAGATACACGGAATCTGCTCCCATCCCTTAGCTCCCACCACGAACCTCTTGTAGAGACAACCAGAGAACATGGCTAGGGCCCAGACCCCAACGAGACAGGCAAGACTGAGGGGGGAGAGAGAGGAGAGGGGGAGAGAGAGGGGAGAGGGAAGGAGGGAGAGAGAGGAGAGGAGAGGGGAGATGTAAGGAGAGAGAGAGAGAGGGGAAAATAAGCAATAGCTGGATATGGGAAACGTAGGGTCCAACTTAAAGAGAGAGATGAGAAAGGGGGAGAGGAGAGGGGAGATGTAAGGAGAGAGAGAGAGATGAGAAAGGGGGAGAAGTGGGAGAGATGAGAAAGGGGGAGAAGTGGGAGAGATGAGAAAGGGGGAGAAGTGGGAGAGATGAGAAAGGGGGAGAAGTGGGAGAGATGAGAAAGGGGGAGAAGTGGGAGAGGGAGAAACAAGGAAAAAAGCAAGGCAACTATCCTGACTATATCGCTCCATAGAGTCAAAAGGAGGCCCACTTTCAACACAATGTTCACACGACAATGGGAGAAGAAAGCTGTACATGTGGAGGTGGGCCTCGATCCCTTTTGACAGGCAAGACATGTCACAACATTCTACACACTCTTAATGCATGCAGAACCCTTTCCGATATTCTGAGGTCATGTGAGCTTTAATGACATCACAGGAGCTCACATGATCAGAATGATGTCACCGGCAGAGAGTTGTCCGGGCTCAATGCCGCAAATCTCTTCGGACACGAGTGAGAAGAGGTAGTAACATATCGCGTCTTTGTTGTTCTCTTCGAGGAAATCAACGTGACCCTAGGATAACGAGACACAAATAGGAGAAGGGTTTGCAAGAATAGAGGAGGGATATACAGTGGAACCCCTCGCCACTGATATTTGGACACCTCTCTAATAAGGACACCTTTTCTTTCCCCAAGAAAGTTTTAGCAACCCCTGAAACAAGGAAATCTTGCTTATACCTTCCTTTTGGCATTTAATTAGAAGGGCTCAACTGTACACAAAGAATTGTCAGAGAGGGAGAGATGTTAGGATTACCTGTCCCTTCACATTGGGGTCACAGAGAAACACGATTCTGGCAGTCCGTGAGCCAGAGTCACAGTGAGAGTGGTAGACATCTCCCCCGCTGTAGGTCAGTTCTATCCACGTCCCGTCGGCCACTGGCAGGAGAGAAAGAAATAGACAGAGAAAAAGTAAGCAACGTTGTTCACACCAACTTGAACGATCATCTTTTGCATGAATGGCAACAAGACCAAAGTACGCGTGTTAGCAAGTGTGCCAGCAAGTAAAGAACACACGTGGTAGAGAATTGAGAAACACATACATCCCTATACTAATACATAGTGTACCTCCGGATAAGAGACAACATTGAGTAAAGTACACTTTCAATGACCTAAAGGTGTCCCTTATTCGGAAGTGCCATTGCAGTAATCCCACTTACTTCTCGCCACCTGAGCCTCCGCGGTTCTGCCGATGCAGAAACTGTGAGAAGAGTTGCTGGTGGAGTCTGTCTGTTTGACCGCACAGCCGGGAATACCGTCATGGTCAACGTCGACACATATACCAATATTGTATTTGTAGGTCTTGTCCGTGTGAGCTCCCTGGATCTCGTACCTTGTAGAGAGGGTGGAGGAGCAGGGGGGAGGGGGTGAGGACGAATGAGTTGTTACACCATAACAACAGTGGAATTAAAGCAGGAAAGCCTCACAACAAAGGCACCATTCAACAAATTACAGCGCCCCTGATTGCTAGGCTGCGTGGCAAGTTGGAGATTTTCTATTTGCAGCAAAAGAGGCTTTCTGGCATTACAGGTCGAAATTCCAATGAACAAGCCACTCTCACACTATTTTGAGGTCGAACGTAAGGAAGCACACAACAGGAGGGGGAGAAGATATAGTTTGCACGCCAGGGGTTACCTTTTCCCAATGTACTGCGAGAGGTAAGGGTCGAATTTGGTGAGGTTGTGACGACATTTCTCGTTGACTCCCTGAGATTCCGCCAGACTGGCGCCCCGCGCCGCTCCACACGCCGCCACCAGCAACAGTCCGCACACTACTACACGACTTGCCATCGTCCTCCTCTTCCTTCTACGATTATCACACGGCGAGAAACTGAAAGAAATCTGCCGAACCCCATGTGACGGGTCATGTGACATTTATACGATTAATTAGGCACGCACTGAGCGCGCCGCCGTAACGTCGTATATAGTATAATAATTGTGCAAAAAAAGGGGGGGGCGGGGCCGGGGGGAGGAGCTATAGTTAGGTCCATGTGGTGGGCCTGGGCACGGGGCCGGTGTGTAGAGTTATGCAGGCCGCCGTATATAAACGCGACATTAAACAAACTCGTTCTAAACACCGCGCGCGAATGAAACGTGTGCTTTAGCTGCTCTATCCCCAAAGTGATGTGCCCATTGCTGATCGCTGGAGCTGGTATTATAATCATCATGGCCATGTTACTGTTCCACGCGACTGGACCTGAGGTAGAGGACAATCTGAGGCCAGCGCAACTGGAGAGTTCTGCAAATTTCGGCCGTTCTGAACTAGTAAACCGTCCTAGCAATATAGTGTTGAACGGATAATAACTTTTAAATGCAACTATAGGTGACTGGTAGGCCAGAAAGATGTGCTGCTAACAGACCTAAACCTGAAATTAACTTGGAACAACCAGAGGTATTGGTAAAATAATATAGTGAGATTTGTGACAGTATAATACAATTCGCAGGAGATGCTGGGCATGCTGAATTGGGAGGTGGTGCCATCACAAGAAGAGAGTTATCAATTTCACAACTCCAGCATTGTTACTGGTCTCCAGTGATGTGCACATTATGCACAAGGAATTCTTTATAACAACTTATAATTTAAATTCTTGCACTTTCTTTTATCAACTGTGGTACTGTGGTACGAAAATAAAATGAAAAGCACTATAGTATACACTTTTTATAAATAATGTTGGTTCACTTTGTTTGTCAACTGTGTTGTATCATCATAACCATGATGTTAAATTAATTGGTACAAGTATCAAAATGAGCGGCACTAGGTGGGTCAGTCTTGGAGAGATTTCTCCTCTCTCTGAACTGCTCAGCCACGGCTTTCTCTAGAGCTGAGAGATAGTACTCCAGACTAGCTGAAGTGGTCTAAATGTAGAGGGACAATCAAAACGTGATAATGTGGAATTTGTGTACTGGACAGACAATGAATATCATTATTATTTGATTTTATGATCGCCACGGACAATAAAATGATGTGCCGCACTCCAGACTAGCTGAGGTGGTGAAATGCTGGGCCATGTAATGAAATATTCATAAGGTGCCGCACTGACAACCAATGAATATAGTTATCCCCACAAGCAAGAGGTGGACCTGCTCTTTGCCTGCTGAAGCCTCCCTGCACACACCCTACAATGCTTTCCTAGTAACTCTGTGTGGTTCTCTGCTGTTTCTTCCATACTTTACTGTTTTATAATAATGTATAATCATTGGTCCATATTTTAACGGGGAAAAAACGCACCAGAACTAGGACTCTTGCTACGGACAGCTGATGGGTATGGCTTCACATGTGTGGAGTATATGGGTGAAGAAAAACTTCCTTTTTCGCGCAGTAGCTCGGACAAAACTTCGACACCCACGCAGCTGTTTGTGGGTGTAGCTGAAAAGAGCGTGCGCGGTAGGTTTCGGTGAAAGATATTATTGCGCAGTTGTTATAATCCGTTAAACGTAAGGTTATTCGTACGGGAAACGTTGAACTGCACCGTTTTTTAGAACTTGCGTAGCGTCCAGGGATCGAGGAACGCTTCTGTTTTAGGCAAAGCGGAGCGCGGTTCATTGCGTGGGAGTTAAGCAACGTATACCGGAATTATCTAAATTAACGTTTTTGTCCGCTTCGTAACACGCGTGAGCTAGCGCGGCGCGGCAGCGGCGCTGTCCTGCCCTAATTACACGCTGCATCTTTGCATCAGGTGTTTTCGGTTGAATGGTGCAATCCCGGATCCCTGGTGTTTCTCTGGTCTATAAAAGGAGCGGGAAACTTGGCCCGGCACAAGGGAGTCTCGTCCTACTGCGAAGAGTCACCCGGTGCCTGTCAAGAACGCGATGGGAGAGAGGGAGGAGAAGACCGAGGTGAATGAGATCTCGCAGAGACAAGTCTCCATTGCTAACGGAGGCCCGGCTCACGTGCACGCCGTTGGTCGTCGGGGGAGCCGAGCCCGAGGCAGCACCGCCAAGCCGTCAGGATCTGAGATGACGTTTTCGGACGTCTGTGTGGACGCTGGGGGCAAGAGGATTCTCTGGAGCGTGTCCGGAAAAGCTGTACCCGGACAGATGTTGGCCATCATGGGTCCCAGTGGTAAGATAACATAGCTATGTACAGTCATACATTTACTATGGATGTTGGAAATCGATGGGACAACAACAGGAAATTAATACATGGCACAAATAAACTTTTACAGTTTGCTTGTCAGATATTCCCTGACTCACTGATTCACATGTGACACTGAAGATGAGTCAAGGAACCTCACTCCATACCACAAACTAATAATTTTGTGTGGTACGAACCACCATGTACCAAAGTTGACCACAGTGTACTGTTGAGGACCATTCCGTCGTACCACACACACACAGGTGCCGGCAAGACGACGCTGCTGAATGCGCTGGCAGGCCAAACCCCCATATCAAGCGGGCGGGTCCTGGTCGACTCTCGGAGGATGAGCAAGAAGATGAAGAGACAAGTCAGCTACGTCCAGCAGGCAGACATCTTCTTCCCCAACCTCACACTGAGGGAGACACTTCGAGTTAGTCAACTTCATCCTCTCTTTGTCTCCACTTCCACTCTCCCTGGCTTCTCCCCCTCTCTCCCTTTTCTCTCTTTAGTTTTCTGCAAATTAGTAAGCAGTTTAATTGATTTCTTCTATCGATTACTTCACTGATATAATTTTCCTTCCCTCCCTCACCTCCTCTATCATGGTCAGTACTCTGCCCTAATTCGACTCCCGTCTGAGCTATCAATTCGTCAGAAACTCAACAAAGTCGAGGAAATCATCACGACACTTCGTCTCCATGACTGCGCCACCACACGTAAGCTGTCCCTCTTTCCCCTCATTTTTAAAATCTTTCTCTCACACTCGCTGCGTGATCATGTAATGCCTGTCGTAACATCTGCCTCTTTTCTTTGTACGACATGTACCTGTTGTAGCTCATTTACCTCTCTCCTGTAAATTACATCTTGCCAATCAAATGATATCTACCTGTCTCCTGTGAAGGTATGGGTGACGCGGCAGTGCGAGGGCTGTCTGGAGGAGAGAAGAAGAGAGCCAACATTGGCTGTGAACTCCTCACCAGTCCCTCCCTCATCCTGCTCGACGTGAGTTCATTTTCCACCTCTCAAATTTTACATACTGCGGACCCTCTGAGACCTTGGTGACATAGAAAGTGTCCTTTGTTCACAGGTGTCCTTTATTCAGAGGTGATTCGTAATATTCTCCTTGTATGGTAACTGGATCACATAGTAACCGCACAAGGTTGTATTTGTATTACATCAGCCTCCAAAGGTGGTGTATTTGTATTACATCAGCCTCCAAAGGTGGTGTATTTGTATTACATCAGCCTCCAAAGGTGGTGTATTTGTATTACATCAGCCTCCAAAGGTGGTATATAGGGAATACGGCAGTAGTATATATACACCGTGCAAAACTTTCACCTTTCAGGAAATTGTTGCATTCCCATTGCATCATCTGATCTCCGAGGACCAAAGGTCAATAGCACAGTGAAACCTAAAAAAGGACCTCTAAATAAAGCGTGATGTGTGGGCTAAGTTTACAATAGGGGCACAGCAATGGGGTTCCGGTTTCACTAGATTCATTATACTGCCACATTTCCTTTAACGTGAACCCTCTGAAAGGAAGTGATCTCCCCATGTTGTCGTCCCCCAGGAGCCTACGTCTGGACTGGACTCCACCTCTGCTCTCAGTCTGTTGGAGCTCCTGCGGAGCCAGCTGGCCTCCCAACAGAACAAGACCATCGTCATGTCCATACACCAGCCCTCCTCGCAGGTCAGCTCTCTCAATCACATCGTAACGATACCATGCCTAACACAAATTGTAGACCTTAAACAGAGAAATGAAAAACCTGGGTGATGTGTAGTTGACTTGTTTACTTTACCATTTCCTTGCGGCATCGTTAGAGTTTGCACGTCCTTTGTAAATATCAGCAAATCGGTAGAATTTTTCCATGGAAAAATATGAACATCGCTGGTCAAAAATGTAGGTATTGATATTCCTCCTCCTCCTCAGATGTACTACATGTTTGACAAACTTCTGCTGCTAGCAAAAGGCAAAACTGCCTACTTTGGACCCGTCAGACAAGCCATGTCATTCTTCTCCAGTGTTGGCCTCCACTGTGACCTTCAGTACAATCCCGCCGACTATATGAGTGAGTCCATTACATCGTCATTACATCATAATGATGTCATGTTTGATTGGTGGTCTGGTCTCCCCTGCAGTGGATCTGGTAACCAATGACGACAGTCGGAAGATTTTGATTGGAGAAGATCCAAAGCAAGAAACTAGGCCAAAGAAATTGTAAGTCACTTTCGTTCTCTCTTTATCTGTTCCAAACTTTCCTTTCCCTGTGTTAGGTCGGCATGGCAACGTGCTCTTCAGTGGGTGCGGCTAAGCCGAGGAGAGAGGGAGGGGAAGGGAGAAGAGGGGGAGGTAGGGGAGGGGAGGACGAGAGGGAATGGAAACATCGAGATTTTGGAATACGACAACAGTCCAAGCTTGACGTCGTTTCGTGCAGTGTCTGCCGTTAACCCTATAGCCACTAGCGAGGAATCCTCTCCCGATGACATCACGAAAGAGGTGGGGCCTGTAACCATGGATGACGACGGCAGTGAGACATCAGACGAAGACTCACTGTAAGTGATTTCAGTCTCTTGGTTACAACCTCACCAGCACATGAGTTTCGAGTGAGAATAGTCTCTGCTGATCTGGCAGCTAGTGAAAACTCCTGTAGCCACACAAAGTTTCCCCCAAAAGAAAAAAACTTTGCTCTCTGCCTCAAAGGTTTTATATAGTATCAAGAAAGGAGACTAGTAAACATTGATTTCGCTGTACCCGCAGAGTGCGAGAGAGAAAATGGCCGACGTCATGGTGGTGGCAGGTCTGCGTGCTCACCGTCCGCACATTCCGACAGTCCCGTTTCGCAATCCTGTCTCCGTCCAACATATTCCTGGCCGTGGCACTCTCTGTTGTCGCCTCCCTCTGCTGGTTTCAGGTCAGTACACAAACAGCTGAGTTCAAAGATTAATATTGATTGGTTGTCGTCATGGCTACAGCTCCCGGAGACGGAGAAAGGGCTGACGGAGCGTTTCGGAATTCTCTTCTTCACAATCATATTCTGGAGTTTCAATCCTCTCTTCATCGCCCTCACCACTTGTAAGCCCCTCTCTTGAGCTAGATATGTACCCTGGACAGATTTGTGTTGACACGTATGAAACTGTTAGACTAATGATTGCAATGAACGCTCGCCAAAACCACATGTTGTGTTCCTCTAGTTCTACAGTAAACTCCCTCCTCCCTCCCTCTCACCAGTTCCGTCAGAGAGGGTGGTGGTGAACAAGGAGAGGTCCAGCGGGTCCTACCACTTGTCTGCCTACTACTTCGCCAAGACCATCAGCGAAATGCCCCTCATCCTCTTCCTCCCGTCAATCTACATGGTCATCGTGTACTGGGCCGCAGGGCTCAACGGTTGGAGTAGCTTCTTTGGCTCCTGGTTCTTCATACTCTGCAGTGGATTCATGGCTCAGGTTTGTAGCTATCTCCCTCGTTCTTCCAGCTGTTCTATTCCACTATCAAACCTCCCTGGTTCATGACAAAACAGGCTCAGGCAACTATTTACAGTCGGTGATCCATTTAGCATGTACCACTCTCTCCCTCCTCCCCTCCACAGAGCCTGGGACTGTTCATCAGTGCCACGGTGACCAACCGCTCCACAGCCATCACCATGGCCGCCCTCTGTGTCCTCACCTCCATGCTGCTGGGAGGATTCTATGTCCGGGCCCTCCCGTTCTGGCTTGACTGGGCCAAAAACTTTTCCTTTGTAACCTACGGCTACGACGCTCTCCTCCAGCTGGAGTTCACAGACGACCGAAGATTCACGTGAGAAAGATGCATCATCCTGATCCTAGCTTGTTCTAGAGCGATGCACGCAATACATCTATTAAAATTAGCTCCTTTTAGAGTGTGTGAAACTTGGGGAAACCTCTCAATATGTCATCATATCCCCTGTTGCGTGGATATCATGGAGCGAGTTGGATAAACACCTTTCTAACCCTGAAAGAAGAAGACTGTTTTCTCCCTCAAATTAATGTTAATAATTTGGACTACGTCTCTCTCTTCCTCCGCAGTTGTAATGAAGTTGCATCCAGTTACCCGTCCTGCAATGCCACCACCGTACTGGCTGGTTACCATGGCAGCGGGAGTGGTGGTTCCCCCGGTGACGGCGGGGTAATTACAGGGGCAGATGTAATCAGAGAGTACGGTGGAGTGTATCCTCTCTACGTCTGTTTCCTAGCGATGCTGGGATTCTCTGTTCTCTACAGACTGTTGGCCTACCTCTCACTACGACATCTACACAGACACGCCCACTAATATATAGGTCACATGACTTTTATATCACACTGGTGTTTGTCACATGATCAGCTATTTATAGTGACACTGTAATGCCATGATCTATTTATAGCAACACACTTAACACTGAGGTCAGGTGAGGCAGTATTGGAGAGCCTGAGGTGACCCCGCCTCCAACAGACGTCCTCCGGAGGTCATAAGGTCAACAATGTAGTGACGTGGGTTGTCGGTTACCATGGTAACCTCATTCCAGTGTCGGCCGTAGTCGCCGCGAGTGAGAGAGCAGGCCACACCCAGCTGGTCGGACAAGATCTGCAATGAAGAAGTGAAGAAGACAGACTACATCGCAGAATCTCTTTTGCAACTCTACCTTGTAGAGAAGGGCTCGGTGACGGTAGGTTCCCGCGGTGATGTTGCCAATGGCGATGACATTGGACCCCGCCTCTTTCTGTAGTTCCGACTGTGGGAGTTCAAAGGGCATGTTTCCAGAGGCAGTCACTGGACCTCCCATACTATTGCAGACATAACTGTGTGAGGGAGCGACGAAAATAAAATGAAAAGCACTAAAGTGCAAACCCTCGGCACACTCTATAGAAATGTGGAACCCATACACAAGTGTGGCACCACCACAATTGATGGTCTTGACCATGCATCAAAAAGAACAGCATGTTATGCACCATTTCCAAAAAAAAATGGGCAGCTGTTTGAGGCCCAAAAAATATATAAGGTTGAAAAATTGCCAACCTTTCATCTCTCTACTAATTTTCGTATTACCCGTGGATTGTTTAGTGCAAAAAAAAAATTTTAACCCAAGGTTGAAAAAAAAAAGGCCAGCCCTTCATCTCTCCAGACAGACGTCTACACACACAGACAAACCCAACTACAGTAACCCTCGCTGCGCATGCGCGCCGAGGGTTAACTACTGTCCCTCGCTGTGCATGCGCGCCGAGGGTAATAATGTTCACACTGTATTGGAACCTCTGTAACAAGGACACCTCATAGACAATGTCTTCTGTCTCATTGGTGTTCAGATTAAAATGGTTCAACGGTATATTTTGGGGGCATCAAATTTCTACCTGAATTAGTGACTCTGCTGACCTGGCAAGAGCGAGGGCCTGGTCGGCGAGGGTGGGGAGGGAGGAGAGAGATGTGAGGGTGTGAGAAATATGAGTCTGGAGACCTCGGTCCACTGGGAGATGACCACACCCACTTCCCTCACTGCTTGGTCCTGATTGGTCGGTTTGAACCTGCGGCTGGTCCTCCCTCGACGGATTTGACACTCTGGACTCGACCTCTTGACCTTTGCGACTGTCAGAAAGAAAAGGGTTAAACCAGGAAATGACCTTTAAATTTGAATCGGTACTCACCCTTTGCCTCTGGACTTTGATCTCGGCTGAGACGGAGACACCTGCTCCACTGGAGCTGGAGTGTGTGTGGTCTCGGTCGAAGTGGGCGGGGCCTCGGGGAGGAGGTTTGCGGTGAGGATGGGTCTGTTCATGTGGGGAGGGTGTGAGAGGAGGGAGGGGAGAGAGGAGAAGGGTTGGGCAGCTGCTAGAGCCTGTTGGGAGATGGGGAGGACTTTTCAATTGCGGGGGCAAAAACCAACAGTGTATTGCCTGCTTACACAAGAAAGAATTATTCGAGAATTATTCGAAGATGATAGAAGGAGATATTTAAGGAATAATGCTAAAGTTTTCTTCATCGAATGCTCTCTGCTATAGCGAGTATACACTTTTTATAAATAATGTTGGCTCACTTTGTTTGCCAATGACATAATGATGATGTAATGTGAAATGAGTGACATACAGGTCCAGGGTCAAAGAACTCCATGTCGATGATTACGTCACTGGTCTCCAGGTGACCCTGCGTCCACCACTTCGCCGAGAGGTCAGAGTTCAACAGCTGCTGGAGGGAGGGGCCAATGGCTGAGGGGGTGTGGCTTCTCTTGAATAGCTGAGTCAGCAACTGGAGAGCACTGCGAGAGAGATGGGAGGAAGTGGATTTTACATTTAGAAGTAGCTTCTCTGTTAGACGAAAACCTCTATGGAGTGGAAAATGTTATGTGAAACTGCAAGCTGGGACCAAATTTTATAATTCCACTAAATTGGCAAGATGAAAGGGACAGAAGAGACAGACCCGTTCCCACAGAACTCCTGGGCCACCTCCAGACTCCGCGCCATGGAGCGGAGGAGAGAGAGGGCAGAGGTCAAGAGGGCAGGGCTCGCCGACGAGAGAAGAGGGAGACACGAGGCCACACCCCCACTGGCCAGGAACTGGCTCCTCCCAGCAGAGTCTGTTCCCATGGCAGCGAGAGCCTCCGCAGCCGACCTTTGAACTGCGACATCTGTGAACTCCAGACATGAGACGAGTGCAGGGACGACTTCGGCAGCTGACAGTTCTTCCCTGTGGCAAGTCACATGACCAGATGAAGACAATCACATGATCCGTCACATGACCAGGGAATGATTCAAGGCATCACATGACCAGAAGATGATTCGTGATCAGGGATCACATGATCAGTCACATGACAGACCTTGCGAGAGGGCTGGGAGCCATGTTGGTAATGGTGGAGGCGGCTCCACTGCGACAGGCTGCCTGTGTGTCAGTCAGTAGTCTGACCAGAGCCACGCAGCCATCTGCCTCCTGGATCAATCTGAGAGAGAGAGAGAGAGAGAACAGAACATACCAGTTGGTTTCAGTGTTCAGTGTCCAGGACTGACTTGCAGTTGGCTGGAGAGTCTGTGGAGATATGAGCCAGACACTGGGCTGACGCATCTCTCACCCCTCCTTCCTCCCTCCCTGCACACGAGACCACACCCACTACTCCGCCCTCTTGCCCCACCCGAGCCCGCCCACTGCTGAGACCACACATGGCACTCAGTCCATTCAGACCTGCCGTCACCACCTCACCATCCTGCAGAGGCGCACGTTTGAGCGATATCGTAAAACAAACAGTTCGAAGAGCCTTCATTATACTACATTTTGGTCAAAATTGTCAATAATGTCTGATTTCAAAGACTTACAGAATGTGCGAGGAGTTGTATAAATGTCTTTTCGACATTCTGCTCGTGGAGAATTCTTCGATTCACTTCTGAACACGACGACATCATGAAGAGTTAGAGTGGCCACATTAGAGAGTGAGAGATGAAACATTATGTGAGGAAAACATATAATAAATAGCACAAAGTTGATAAGAAAAACCCAAGCACTAATAAAGTATAGTATATAGCCACTCTTATAAGAATGGAGGAGTTCAACCAGTTGACAAGTAAACGAGACAGATAGTTGTACCATCGTGGGCAGCCTTGGCGAGGGCGGAAGCTGCACATGTCTTCATGTCAGAGTTGGCTCCAGCGTCAGTCATGAGAGAGAGGAGGAGCTCCAGGGACCTCGACGTCTGGGTGAGGGGAGAATTAATCACACATTCCAGTCGGTTTGGAACCGTGTCACAAACAGTGACTTTCAACAGTTACAGAGAGTCTGGGTTGAACGGAGCGTAGTTCGATCAGGAGACAAAATAAACATCATCAGCACCATCGTTTGTATGGACCAGTTTTGTAATTATAATTCAGCGAAACATTAACTCTTATCCATAGCTTCGATCTCATTAATAGTATGGTAGCCTATTTTGTGTAATGGTCTACCATTTACTATTATACCTGTAAGGCAGTCATGTTCTCCGCGTCATGGAGACAGAGGGAAAGGGCAGTGGCAGCCCGGAGATGAAGATCACTCACATCCTGTAACAAAAAACACACGTGCACCATCATAAGAATATTAACTGGAACGTGATAAATAAAACGTGGGCTGCGAGTGCCAGTGGCAGGTACACGTATCAGACCTTGTTCCCGAGGAAGGAGACGATGGTAGAGAGGCCGTCAGCGTCCCTGAGTCTGGCACGACAATCTCCGTCATTCATACAGGAGACTAGGGAGGTGAGGGCCAGGGCCTGGATCGTGGGGAACTCGGAGGAGAGGAGAGAGAGGAGACTCTTCATACCTGCAGTGATGAGAGAGACACCAGTGGCAGGGCCAGTATTGTGTCAGTTACCTGTGGGCTCTGTATATCTACTAGAGAAGAGAATTTACTACCTTCTATGTTAGTATGGGGGTTTACTGACCTAAAGTAGTATGGACATTCTTCACTCATAACATTAAAGATTTTCTATAGACTTAAGCAACTATCGATGCTGCATTATACGGTAGCTTGTTTTTTCCAACTCACCTCCTTCCTCAGCCACTGCACGTCGAGCCTGGTGAAGCTCCACCAATTGACACACAGTCTCCAGAGAATGCCTCTGAATATTGGGGTCGTCCCTTGTCATTAGTGGCAGTAGCAGCTGGTGGGCCGAGAGGGAGAGGAGCTTTGTCTTTGTGAAGTACTCTCTGGCCATGTGAGAGAGAATGGCTGCTGCATGCTCCACTGTCACCGACTCTTCTGCGGGGAGAGGGGGAGAGGGAGAAGAGAGAGAGAGGGGAGAGGGAGAAGGGGGAGAGGGAGGAGAGAGAGGGAAGAGAGAGAGATATTAAAGGAAGATTGTGCACAGTACTCGTGTCAAATGAGTAAAGAGGTGCAGAACAAGTGTCTGTATAAGCATAGAGGACGTAACAGCCAAACAGAAAAGAAGATATGCAGATTTGCAATGAGCGAGAAGGTAGAAGGAAGTGGTATGCAGCTGACCGTCAGGTTTAAGAAGAGCCAAGAGAGCAGGGAGTCCGTCCGCGGAACACACTTGTCTCCTCACGTCAGCTGCAAACAAGACACACCACAACTAGAGCCATCTCCTCTCTTTTGGTCTACCTGAGGTGGTCATGACTGACAGGCAGAGAGTAGTGTAAGATCTGGTGGCCCTCACAGGACTAGACAGAAGACCAACTAGTGGGGAGACCACGCCAAACTCCGCCATCTCGCTGCAGTTCTGCTCCGCTGTGTGGATTAGAGCGAGCAAAAGCATAGATATTGGAGTTACGTGGTCTGTGGGGAAACACTGGAGGGACAGTGTACTGTGGAACCTCTGAATAAGAGACAACCTGGGGAGCCTTTTTCTCAGAGACATCTCTTATTCCGCGGTGATATAATATTAGAACACAATAGAGAGGTGACCTTTATTTGCTGGGTTCTAATATTTTCAGATGTTTCCTAGGTGAACCATACATTTTTTCATGTGTTGGTGCAATGCCTGCAGAGCCTTCACGACTACGGTCGGCTCGGGGGAAGACAACATGAGGATGACGGTCCGCGGCTCTCTCGTCGAGATATCCACACCCTGGAACGACTGCAGAGACCGTCACCATATATAAGACCCTGGCTTTGCACGTAGAGGATCTAAGAAAAGACGTAGGTTCTACTACCTTGTCCGCCGGTGCCTTCTCCTGCTCTTTCTTCTGCTTCTTTGGTGGCATAGCGAAAATCTAAGCTGCGAGGTGTGCAGTATTTAGAAACCGCTGCAAACGTCCCCATGACAACTTTGCGCATGCGCATATTGTTTGCGAACCCCGCGCGTACGTCGCGACGGACTACGGCGCCGCATCAAGAGGTTCGTGTGAACACTACGTTTTCAAGGAGCTGCGAAATTTCTGCCGCTCCTGGGGCTGATATCAAAAGCTGAGCTAGCTTCAGAAATTAAAATGTGCATGTACTGCGGACCATAGCTCTAGGGGAAAAGGTTGGCCTCGTGCCATCAGTAAAGCGGCACACTAGCGCCGCCGTGCCGGAATGCAAGAGTCGTGCTATAGTCCGTTAGACAGAGCGGCAGGTGATACACACACACATACTCAGCCGTGTGGCTGGCGTCCATTAACAAAAAAAAAGACGGTCGTACAGCGAGCGAAAGCGCAACGCCTAGTAGGTATCAGTCGAGGACACACAATCACAAACACGGGTGAATTCTTGTTGGGACATTAGCTATTTTGGAGTTTGCGAAGAATAGAATTGAGTGAGGCAATGTAAACGTCCGTACCTAATTTTTAGCGAACTGGAAAGTGACGAATATTCATTCGCAATGAAATCGGCGGGCGATGCGGAAATCGCTAGCTGCTGCTATAAAAACCCGCATTCGCTGCTCACTGTTTGTTATTATTTTCTCGCAGACACTGCAAATACTCACCTCAGCTCAGAGCGACATGGAGATGTACAGCAAGACCGCATCGGTGGATAAGAAATCCCTGTTTGCGGCAGTCAACATGGACGGCGACAGACACGAAGACGTCAAGCCGCCGTACTCTTACGTCGCTCTCATCGCAATGGCCATCGCAAAGTCCCCGGATAAGAAACTAACGCTGAGCGGCATCTACCAGTTCATCATGGACAATTTCCCATACTACGCCAAGAACAAGAAGGGGTGGCAGAATTCCATCCGGCACAACCTCTCGCTCAACGAGTGCTTCGTCAAAGTCCCGAAGGAGGGCGGGGATCGCAAGGGAAACTACTGGACACTGGACGAGTCCTGCGAAGAGATGTTCGAGAAAGGAAACTTCAAGAGAAGGAAGCGAATGAAGCGGCCGCAGAAGAACGCAAACGACCAGAAGAAGGCCATTTATTTCACGACGGGGAACCCGTCCGCGGGGTATTACGAGGATCGTCATAGTCTCGCGGGGTACCATCCGTACGCGGCTCCTGCGTACTCGTCCCCGCACCTCAGTCCCGGCAGCGCCAGCATCGGCAGCGGTGGCAGCGGCTATTATCCCAACAGTTGGAGCAGCACCGCGAGTGCGGGTTCCCGCCTTACGCCCCCTTCCCCTCCACCGCCGATCGACCCGTCGTACCGTTCCACGTACGGAACCTCCGCGTCTTCATACGGAGTGACGCCGCCCGCGTACACGACGTACAGCGGATACAACACTTCAGCCGTTACGTGTCAGTCTTCCATGGCGGCCGCGGGTTCCCAGTCCATCAGCCTCTATGGAGGCGCCGCGTATCTCCCAACGTCAGGATACGCATCTCTACCGTCCGCGTCAGGCTACACCGCAGCCTGTTACGGGCTCGTGGACGCAAAGGCTATGTAGAAACGACCGTAAAACGCTACCACCATTTCGTTGGCAGGAATCACTCAATTACAAAAAAACATCCGTTTATCACATCCACAGACGTGCAGATTTTACCAGAGTCAAATCTTTTTTATCACATCAACAATCTCATATTATAATTATATACAGGTTTTACATGCATTATCACTTTTATCACGAAAAACTATAAAATGCGACTCCATCAAAATCGTGTGATGACTAGGGTACACAATAGAAATGAAAACAAACAGTCGTAATAGGAGAGTCTGGAGAAAATGAAATATCAGTTTTCACTGAAGAGGGAAGCCAGGGTGGTGCAGAGAGACACATGCCAAGCTGTGCAGACGGCAAAACAGAGGTTAGGGCGAGGAACACGCCAACACAGATGGGGTGGGGAGGGAGAACTGAATCAGGGAAAGTGCCTTGAGCATTTCTGAGCAGCCAACAAAGCATATGCTTCCCTATGGCGCTGTCTCTCCTCACACACACACACACACACACACACACACAAAGACATAGAAACACTAGAACGATCGCATCAAGAACTGAGAGCATCACGCATACTAGCCCATGTCCAAGAGAGTCTTTTACTCATAATTAGCAACCTTCCTCCATAGACATCAGGTGTGTGCACATCCCATCTCATCCGGTCCCTCAGGACAATAGCAGGGAACATGTGGCGGTTCTATTATATCGCAGTGGCACCAACTGGGTCCAGTTTCCCTGTGGTCACTTCTTTCTTCCCGCTCCCAATCTCCTCTCTCCTCCTCTCCTTTCTCTCGGCCTTTGCAAGTGCCTTCCTTTCTCTGTTAGAGAGGTGGCCCTATAATAACGACAGTTAGAAATTTTGCTAATTTTCCAGGAAACAGTGCAATCTGCAGTTATGAATGCTATCAATATTGTTGAACTGACCTTTTGCGGGACTTGATATGCTTTTTTGGCTGGATTTTTCTTATTTTCGTTGCCGGTGGCATTCGACGACTGTGGAGGAGCTTGTTCACATCTCCCACTACCGCTCTTCACCGTGTCAGCTTCATCATCTATTATTGTATGGACAGGAGAAGCAAAGTTACGTGATTACGAGGTTAAAGGGAATTTGTTTCACAACAAGGCACCAAATACAGACAAAAATAACTGCCTAAAATGACGTCCGGGCAAAAACTAAAGTTGTTTGAAAAATCTAGAGTATGCTAATTTAAAGCTTGTGTAATTGACTGCTAGAAGAGAAGAAATGCTACATTAACTGAAGGACAATCAGTATACCATCCAAACATGAGATGATGCTCGGCCAAAAATATACACCACACATGCCAAACTCCAGCACAACACCTCACAGGCCTGCAGGGTATTTAAAAATGATATCATGATGAGGTAATCATTTACCTTCTCCTCCACCACTGAGCTCCATCAGTTGTAGAAGTCCTACTACGGCAATGTCAACATCGTGACTACTGTCTGAGAGAACTCGCCAGGCCAGGGAGGGATCCTGACATCAGTGATAGAGAAGAGAGATAGGGAGAGATATACAGGGACACCAATCTGCAACTTTAACAGTGAAACTCCTCTAATCAGGACACCAATCACTCTGAAGAAAGTGTCTGTTGAGGTGTCCTCTCGTTTCAGGGGTTTAATTGCTTTTGGGTGTCCTTGTTAGAGAGGTGTCCTTAGAGAGAGGTTCCACTTTGTACGCCACGTATAAAATCTTTAGAAGGAAAAGTGAGGTCGGTTCGATGTAGGATGACACGTGTCCTAATTGAGTAAGACCAACAACGAATGTACGTACCTGAGCTACTAAGAGGGCTCGCGTGCACACACACAAGGATGTGAGGTAAGCAGTTGGTACAGCCAAAGGCTCCATGCATTCACATCCAGTGAATCAGCCAGTGATGACATGTGTTACTGTGAGAATGACAGTAATGCCTATCCATGTCCAAATCACAAATTCTGGGTCCACAGGCAACTGTTACCTCCCTGAACTCTTCATGAAAACTTTTACACAACTGGAAAAATGCCCATCTCCATTTTGTATGCTACAATTCACCATCTCAACTTTTTCTGTCTCATCTCAATTTTTCCTACCAAACTCGCCATGTTTCATACCTCGCAGCCTGTTGCAGATAAAAGTGTTTGTAACTCCCTCCCCATCTCCTCCCCCCTTCCCATCTCCTCCCGCCTCCACTTCTCCTCCCCCCTCCCTGGCGGTGAACCAGCAGCAGTGGTTACACCCCCCAAAGCCTCCCCACCAACAGCACCAGTCTCCAGGGAACTCCGTCCCTGCAGAGAGGCAGAGAGGTGAATGATAAACATGAGTTGATACGAAGAGAGCTATTCACGCTATGCTGTGTTGCGTCTTTGCCCAGCTGAGGCACTTTGCAACAAACATGATCGTGAATATGGGAAGTTGAGTGGCTTATCTGTGGTTCTCAACCTTGTGTGTGTGCGTGACGGGCCCACTTGAAACTTCAGCTGGTGTTAGGGAGGAGGGTGGATTTAAAATTGGGCGATGGAGGGTGGAGAGGTAAGAGGCCAGTATACACAGTCCACCAGCTCATGCACTTACAGCTGAACATGCTGTATGTATGTATGTATGTATGCACACAATCACAAATAAACTTAATGCACGAAATTTCAAGCAGGATTAATAGACAAGTCAATATGAATACCGTAATGATGTATTAAACAAACTCGTTGCATGGGCCCACAATTTATGAGACTTTTTGTTAGTGAAACAAAGAGCAGTTGTGTGTACATACATGTTGGACCTGCGGTATTGTCTGCTGATAGAAGAACATATTAGCACATGTTGGTCCCAAGTATTTGCTCATTAACTCTCTACTCACTGAATTGGCAGGGGACGAAGCTTTGGGATGAGGTAATGCACAGTCGCTGGTCAGCGGGCGAACTGAACAATAGTGCTCTCCATTTAGATACGCAACGTGGAGTGTTGGCGGTTGCCTTGACAAAGTGGGTGTGGCAGTGGGTGGGGCCAGAATCTCCCAGCGAGGGCAGTTGAGTTGGTGAATCACGACATTAGCAGAGAAAGCCCTTGAGAAGGCAACTATGGCATCATTACCTGCATACTTCCCATCTTGACCCAACTGCCTCACTGGGGAGGGAGGACACTTGAGATTACACACGGCATGGGTTTCAAGCAGACCTCCTACAGAGAGTGGGGCCAACACGCACACACTCACATGCACACACCAAGGCAGTCACAATAGGTTACTAGTCACAACTAAGAGCCACTCGGTGTGTGTGTGCTGGCATACAATATTCCTCATAACTATCGTCTTCTTCGGCTAGAAATTCCTCAAACTGGTGACGGTTCTGCCTCATGTACTGAACAACTTCTCTTCGCAGAGAATAGTGAGAGACTCTGGGTTCTCTGAGCTGGTTTGCCAGTGCTCGGAACAAGCAGTTACTGGGTGCGAGGGAGAGAGAGAGAAGGAGAGAGACGGAGAGGGAGGGAGGAGAGAGAAAATGGTGGGAGTTTGGTCATTTTCCAGAGGAGTGAAAACACGTTGCGGTTTAGGGACCTGCCAAACTTGGTGCAACACCCATGTCTCCAGAGTGGGTGCTAATGGCTGGCCAGAGAACGGGCACAGCGCCCCCGCAATCAGCCTCGGGGTACAACACACGACGCACCATCTCCGTTCGTATTACGTATCCAGCTACGTATTGCGCTGCGTACAGGACGTTCCGCCAAGCGTATGATAAGTGTATTGGTACTTATCCTCACCCGTCGGCGGGAACGTCCTCAAGACGAAGACCCTGGACCGCCAGTTGGTTGGAAAAACTCTTAAAATCCGGGTCCCCTGGCTGTAAATACGCTCCCCCCGCGCGCTCCCTCCTGAGCGCGCGCCGCACGGCCCTCTCCTTCTTTTTCTCTGTCGCCGCCACCTTCCCTCTCCCTCCCTTTCCCTGGCGACCCTTGGGCATGCTGGAACAGCGCTTACGAGCTAAAATCCAGTCTCTGCGCTCAAATTTTTCACGACGCCATTTTACGTTTATAAATTTAACAGATGACGGATAATTAGATGAGAGTGATATACGGTACACCGTTAATGTCTTTCTTCTTCCAACAGCTGTTGCGAGCAACGCAGCAGAGACTCTATCTCGTATTCTGTGGGCGAGGCGTGGGCCTTCCACCGTATTCTTCCCTCCCTGTCCAGCAAAAACACATAGCCAATCATAGAGTTCCTTAATTGCAGGGTTTCCCTAATCTCGGGCACGTCTTTTCCAGAGTGTAGCATAAAGTAGTCCTGCAGTACATCAGGTCATGTGACAGTCATGTGATAGTTGACTGGCTCACGTGATTGTCAGGTGACATGGTCTTGGCAAGGTTTCTGGTCATCCATTTCGACATTAGTCTGTACATCCACATGTCTATTAGAGATAGCTGCAGCAAGACAAAAGAATCTCTCTGTTTCCGAAGGCATTGAAATCAGGTGCATGTGCAATAACCGTCAAGTATTTTATCTTGTTATACTAGAGGAATGTATACAAACAAGAGAACAGAAAAGAAAAACAGACTGGCTAGGGAGTTGGAGTACTGTGTTCCTAGCATCTATGGCCTGCTATATAGAGGCATTAATTCTTCAGTCAGAACTAAACGACCATTCGCCATTGCTGCATTACTTATCAAAGGATGCTAAAACACGCAGTAAACATTGGAGACATTTCACTCCATATTTGGTCAGGCAATCACCCAGGTGGGCCACCAATCTACATTCCTGAGGCACATGTCATCACTTCTCACAAGTGTAAACAGGAACTTAAGCCCTCCTCCATTACTTCACATTTTGATCATTATATTTTGTTTCACAATTTGCAATATAAAAAATCCTCTACAACATGTACACATTTTGTCTGCCCTAGCTTTATCTAAAATGCTAGATAAAAATTATGCACTGATTTTGATCTGTATGTATGTTGAGTTGCGTGAAGGAAATAATGAAATGAAATTTTTGAGAATCAGAGAGAGAGGATGGAGGTCTGCGCTCACCTCAAAGACAGCTGTGTCTGGTTGCTGGCCAAAGGAGACCATATAAGGTCTGCTGTACTTTTCACAGAGAGACTAGGGGGGAGGGAGGGAGGGAGGGGGGGAACGGAAGTGACAGTGTGGCAGATAAAGGCCGCGGCAGCTGGCGAGCTCTGTGCCACGCACGCACACACGCGCGCTGTTGGGGCAGCGACAGGGCTTCCACCGTCCCCCTTGTTCTCTTTGTCAGGAGGAGAGAGAGAGAGGAGAGAGAACTCTGCCAACTGAGCAGCAGCTGCTTATTATGAATACAGGAAATCCCCTTTGGCATGCCCTAATAACCCCTTGTCTCTCCTTTCCCTTTACCCATTCTTCCTTCCCTCTCTCTCTCTCTCTCTTTCCTCCCTTCCTCTCTTTACTCCTTTTCTCTCATCGCTTTTATCAACACACCTAAATACATCACAGGGATGTGAGATTGGAACCTCCAAATAAAAGACATAATTGGACCATGAAATTTGTAATTTGTTGAAGTGTCCTTTTTGGTTAATGCAACCTTGCAAAAAGTAGGTGTTTTATACATTAACATGCATTTTACACAATCTATGCAGTCAAGCTTACCTTTCCATAGTCTCTCATAAAGACAGAGACGAGAGACACATTCCCGAGGAGGTTGCCTGGCAACGTGGTAGGGTGTCCAGAGAGGGTGACACCGGAGAGAGAGGGGAACAGGGGAGAGACCTCTAGTGGCAGGGAGAGGAGGGAGAGGAGGAAAAGCTGTAGGTAGCCTGTATATACTCTGAGGACACCTCGCATTCCTTATATGCCACAGGTCTCGGTATTACAGGAGTTCCACCGTACCTCAGCTGATGTGACCGAATCAGAAGCCTGCCATTGTTTCCCTCCTGTTCGCCTCAGTTCTGGACAGAGGGAGAATGTGAGGATGAGTACTTTTGAAATCTTGAACTACATACCACTCATGTCTGCCAAGTTGTCGATACGGATTTTCGGGGTTCTGCAGTAAAGATTGAGGCAAGTATGGGGTATAATGGATTCCTCGTCACAGACCGTTTTGCTTGCTTCCCGTCTCCTCCTTCCTTGCCGCCGGCACCAAACAGGCTCCGTACTACTCCTAGTCTGGACCATCGTCTGCTCCCAGCCGCCGTCATCCGCCGACTAGCAGACAGAACACCAGACGCCATATCCCCTGCGGCGCGCCGAACAAGACTCTAAATAGCGCCCACCAACCAATACCACGTGGGTTTCGATGAGTTTTGAGTGTGGACGTAGCCGAGGACACAGCGACCATGCCCAAGCGAAGGTCGAGAGGAGGAAGAGGCGAATGGGGAGTGAGGTGAGTGAAAATTTCATCTGTCCAGCTGGCATATACTGTTTGTATTAGGGAAGTGGAGAAAGGAGCCGGGAATGTGAAGGGGAGCAAAAAGATGAAGCTAAGGTGAGTGTGTGAGAATGGTGAGGGGTGACAAGTGATGTGTGTGATCTTCTGAACCCGGGCAGTGAGTCGCTGGCAGGCCTGGCAACCTCTGACCCAGAGTTCTACCAGTATCTCCGTGACAACGACCACGAATTGCTGGAGTTTCGTGACTCTGAGGAAGAAGAGGTGGAGAGGGAAGAGGAGGAAGAGAGGTAGGGTGCAACTAGTGGAACCCCTTTTCCTCGTACACCCCTGAAATAAGCACATGAGTAAATGACGAGAAACCAATGTCCACAGTATTTTGTGTACCCACTTACAGTACCTCCCAATGAGGGTTCAATGAGGGTTCAACAGTTTTGCATGCACATAAGTAAACGAAATGACAAACCAACCATACCTAGTTGTTTAACTATAGTTGGAAGGTGGAAATCACAACTATCTCACTGTTTTATCCCTATCTTGCATCTCTTTCGCTGTCCCTTCACCCACCCTTACTTACTCCCCCAGTTAGGGTATCAGTATACTGTGGTTTCGCATTTTTTGCAGACACGTTGGTAAATGAAATGACAAACCAATCATACTTAGTTGTTTAGCTATAGTTGGAGGGTGGAATAGCAGTGCTATCTCGCTGTTCCTATTACTCCCTTGCCTCTTATCTCGCTGTCCTTTCACTCCTCCCCTTTCCTACTCCCCCAGTAAGGGTATCAGTATGCCAACGATTTTGCATTTTTTGCAGACACGTGGGTAAACGAATTGACAAACCAAATTCTAACTAAATTCACAATCGCTACATATTTGCTGTGCTACTAACCATGTTGGTGGTGGGGGGGAATATGAATGTTGAAAATGATTGGTTTTGCCGCGTTTGTTTTGGCTTTGCAGTGGAGACGAAGAGCCGGGAGAAGGAGGAGGGGGAGGAGGGGGAGGGGAGGTGGAAGAAGTTCCCCTGAACATTTCTAGCTGGAAACAGACCAAGGTAAGTTGGTGTGGCTTGGCCCATGAGTCTCTACCTCCATTATCATAGAGACCCTTGCCCCATTCCTGCCAAGCCCGTAGCTAGGTAGGTGGGTTAATTAGATAACCGCTAATCTCGTTAATCCTGTTAGTGGGTCTGGCGGTAGCCCCAGGGACCCAGCCAGCATGTCGTGGGTGAGGAGAGAGAAGGGAAGAGGGGGTGGGCAGCGATAAAGACAGAGATGTTGGCCAGAAACTGTACCACAAGTTGCCTACCTGGTCGCTTACCAGATAGTGAGCATTCAGTTTGGAAAACAATCTTATAACTTTCTATGTTAATCAGCTTTCAAAACGTTTAGAAGGGACCTTTGAAAAAACATTTGGTATATGCAATAAAGCGTGCCTTTTGAACTGCAAGATTTCCTGAAAGTGAAACTCACATGTTTATCTCTGTATGTATGAACTTGCTAACCAAAAATGTATATTAAACTCATGACGTGTGTATACCATAACTAGTCTATAGTTGCAACGTGTTGAAAACTACTACTGCACTAGCCATACCTGACGATGGACGCACTAGCACGTGGAGCGCCATGGGAGGTGGGGGAAGAATGTGCGCGGTAAGGCCGTCCTATTTCTGTCTAGTCACATCAGTAGTCAACGTGTCCCTCTCTGAACATGAATACATATCTCATCGCCACTGGACCTTGCCTTCCTCTCTCCTCTCTCTCACTACAGTGGAACCTCTGAATATGGGACATCTTGGAGACCTCGAAAATGTCCCTTATTCAGAGGTAGTATTAGTATGAGGCAGAACCAACTGTCCCGTATCGTGATCGAGGTGTCCTTTATTCAGAGGTAGTATTAGTATGAGGCAGAACCAACTGTCCCGTATCGTGATCGAGGTGTCCTTTATTCAGAGGTAGTATTAGTATGAGGCAGAACCAACTGTCCCGTATCGTGATCGAGGTGTCCTTTATTCAGAGGTAGTATTAGTATGAGGCAGAACCAACTGTCCCGTATCGTGATCGAGGTGTCCTTTATTCAGAGGTAGTATTAGTATGAGGCAGAACCAACTGTCCCGTATCGTGATCGAGGTGTCCTTTATTCAGAGGGTCCATCTTCTGAGGTTCCACTGTGCATCTGGTATATACACACTGTCTGTCCCTGGTGTATTACCTCACACATCCCACCTGGATCAGGTTACCACTAGAAACCACCAGCTTGCATTCATCGGCAGCGGGAAAGGGGTTAAACGTATTCACGCACCATTACACTTATTCACCACCTGGGCTAGTGCACGGCTAATGATTTTGCAGAATGTTGGGAATTTTCATACATTTTTTCGCTCTAACATCAGATGTAATCCGCATTTTACAAGAATGGTATAATCACTGTTTGTATGGCCGTAGCCTTGGCAACAGGGTTGTTAACCACTAGCCAGCTGGACTGGCAGTTAATTAGTTAGTCCGTAAAGATCCAAAATGTGGTTTTGTTTTTGCCAATTGGTCAATGCACCATACGTAACCCAGCTTTTCTCTTTCCTCAGCATTTACGGAACTCCTTCAAATAGTGTACAATAATATGATATAATATTTTGTGTGGGAATATTACGGTCGAAAATTTCATTCAATTTTATGTTTGCATTTGTTTGCTGTATAATATTATGTGTGCACAGGTCGAGGAAGACAGCAGTGGTGAAGATGAGAAGGAGGAGAAGGAGAAGGAGGAGGGAGAGGGAGGAGGGATTCCGGTGACAGCGGCAATGGTGAAGAATTGGGTCTCTGCTATTACCGAGGTATATACCCGCAGTAGATAGTCCCAATTGGAATGAGTTGTTGCATATCCTGGGATTTTCCGCATAAAGTTCCACTCTAGTAGTTACAATGACGACATCATAGCCGATGAAAATGATGTCGTAGTCTGTACTAAGCCTTGCAAGTGGGTGGAGCCTGTAACCAGGGGTGACGGGGTGTAGATGTGGGGTCTGGGATCCAAGGAGACGAGAGAAAGAGCCCACGTTTCTGACCAGTCCTGCCAGACACCCCACCCCCTCCTTCCTCCCTCCCCTCCCTCTCTTTATCACAGTTTAACTTCTTAATGGACCCTCCAACACTGTAGGATACTTCTCCCCCTGTCTCTCTTATTACAGGAGCATTCCCTGGCGGGGGTAAAACAGCTGTCATTGGCTCTGCGGGCGGCGGTGAGGGGAGTGAGGGGAGGAGAAGAGGGAGGAGAGGTGTACCATGTGTCTGGAACATCAGGTAAACATGTGGTCATGTGATCAGTCATGTGACCATCATGTGATCTCTCAGAGTTCAATGCGGTGGTGTTAGCATGCCTTACCCATGTGACTCCATGTCTCAACCATCATATTCCTCCACTTCCTTCGTCCAACACACCCAAAAAGAGGTATGAACCCCTTGGTTACCCTGGTAATGATTACATCATGGAATGCTGTTAATTGGTTCTGTCTCCAGACCGTTCCGCCCGTCGTCCCACAAGATCTGGGGCAGAGTGCGGCCGGTTGCCGAGTCTCACTGTCTGGTTGTCTTGGAGCTAGTGAGAGGTCTGAAGGAGCCCTCAATGGTCTGTGCCGTTCTCAGGTGAGTTTTGACAAATTCCACACCTGAAATAAGGACACCTCACTAATATGGACACTTTCTTCTGTCCCATTGGTGTCTGGATTATTCAAGTGTCTGTCACTCCATTTCCTCCAGACACATCCAGTCTCTGGTGGCCTACTACGGCAGTGTGTCCAGACTCCACCGCTGCCTCTCGCGTTGTCTCCTCCAGCTGTGGGAGGGACAGGAGACGAGAGTACAGGTCCTGGCCTTCCTCGTCCTCAGGCAACTGACACTCCTCTCCCCCCACCTCTCCTCCCACCTCTCCCTCCACACCTCCCTCAAGGTCCCTCCACCCATCTCTCATTCTAAGCATCACGTTATTTGTTTTTGGCCTTCCTCTTCCTTCTCTCAATACTTATTAGAAGTTGTATCTGACGTTTGTTCGCAACGCCAAGTTCACGTCTCTCTCCTCACTTCCTCGGATTGCATTCATGAAGAACTGCGTCGTTGAGATGATATCATTGGACGTTGCCACAGGTTACCAGCACGGGTTCGTGTACATCAGGCAGTTGGCTCTCCACCTGCGAGCGGCCACTACATCCGGCAAGAAAGACACTCTTCAGGTATTTGTTTTACTCTCTGTTGTTCATGCTCTAGTTGGCAAATATCACTAGTTCACCTGGTCCGATATGATATTTTGTAATGCATGCGGCTCTGTCACCATACTGTTGTTATTAGTATTATGTGCAAAACAAGGGACTTCCAGCGCAAAACTGCTGAAATTCCCTTCCTTTTTTGCCCTCTCCTCTGCTGTTTCAGGTTGTTCGTAGCTGGCAGTTTGTCCACAGTTTGGACTTATGGTGTCAGGCCCTCTCCTCCCTCCACCCCTCCCCCTCCCTCTCCACTCTCCTCTACCCCCTCATTGAGATATCGCTAGGAACACTGTCGCTCCAACCTTCCCCGCCGACTGTGCCCCTTCGTCTACACCTCGTTTCATCCCTCTCTCGACTCGCAGCTGCAACTGATACTTACATACCTCTCGCCCCTTTCCTTCTTGAGGTGTATACGTACCTCTCAATAGAGGAAAACACTGCTATCTCCCTCCTTTCTCCCTCCCTTCTTTCTCCCTCCCTCACATCAGATACTGGAGTCAAACAGCAGTCAGATGAAGCCAGGGAGTAGTGGGTCGTCGTCAGGGAAACCGCCAGAGCTGTCGTGTCTCCTCAGAGCCTCAGCCACTCAGCTGCAGAGCCGAGGATACCAGGTCAACTTCCTCCTCTCTCTCCTTTCTCCTCCTCCTCCTTCCTCTTTGTCAGACTGTTTCCTTCAACCGTTAGTAAAGCAGTCCTCAGCTAAGTGAGAAAATATGAAATAAGCTGGGACTGTTGAAATATGGATGATTGACTGTCTTCGTGTGACAGCCTCCTGAAGATCATGTGATGGTCATGTGACCTCATTCTTTCCACAGACTGTTGTTCTGATGCGAGCATTTGAGCTGCTCCTACAATTATTGGCATCTCAGTCACACTTGATCGGCTTCCCCGAGCTTGCTTACCCATCCGTTGTCAGGGTGAGTTACCATGGATACCTCTGTTGGTACGCAACCATGTGTTTTACGTTGATTTGTAGTTGCGCAAGATAATAAAGGCCACACCCATTTCCTGGTTTCGACAACAGGCCAAACAACTGGTTGAAAAGGTCAGAGTTCACTGAACCAGTTGGAGACTGGACTGACAGGTTTTTCTTCCTCCACCACCTTATTAGGTCGAGGAGGTCAGTGGTGAAATCAGCAAGGCACGCAGTCATGTGACCTTTGCACCCAAGGACACTGTGGAAATCGTGAGAAAATTATACATATACTTTTTTTTTTGAGGGTCTTTAGTTTTACTGTAGTGTTTGCTATATATAAGGTGGAGTGGGAGAGAGAGAGGAAGGAGAAACAAGACTCTCTCAACCGTTTCCTAGCAACCTGGGAGAAGCTCCATGCTGGCTCTGAGGCTCCGCCCACTGCCCCTCCCCCCAGACCAACCAAGACAGCGAGTAAGAAAAGACAGAAGACTCTGTCTGAGGAAAGAGGAGAGAGAAAGAAGAGAGGGGAGAAGATGGAGGAGAGGGAGAGAGGAGTTGAGTCAACAAACAGTGATGAAGAAGACATTGTCGAGGATTTTCATTTTTCGTCTTCTGATTCTGATTCAGACTAATTGTCCTCAGGATGTTATACTGTAGTGCACACATTATTCATTGAACTGGTCGCACCGCCCCCCAGCATGCGCTGGTCAGCACAGAGTCTCCTCAAAGAAATATTGCTAATAGTTATACAGAAACAGAAGATGAAAAGGTCTTGGAGATTCAAAGGGGTGTGGTCAAATCAGATGTTTCCTCTTCGCCTTCATTTTCTCTCTTCGGCTGTTGAACGACTTGGACTTTGACCTCACGGCCTTCACCAACCTAGCAACACTGCGGGGGGAGAAGAGTAGGGTTGCTAGTGTTAGCTCACAGCCAAACCTTGGGTCCTTGAGTGCACTGCCCACTTCTTGATTAGTGGGCGTGGTCTCTGGTCCCATGGCTCCACCCCTTTCTCTCCTCTTCCTCCTCTCTTCCATTATTGCAGACATTGCTTTTGTAGCCCTGGAGACAAGTACGTAGCACACTATATAATACACATGACATTGAGACTGACCTGAAGTGGGGGTGGGAGGGGTCAGGAGCAAACTCGTGGCTACTGTAGAGAGCACTGAACCGAGTGTCTTTCACGTCAACTTCAAATGAGTCCTTGACCGGTTGGACCTGGGATCACATGACAATCACATGACTAATGAAAAGCACTAAAGTGCAAACCCTCAGCGCACTAGAAATGTCGAACCTATACACATGATTGTGTGGTACTGCAAAATGATAGGCTTGGCTCACTATTCGCTCTTTGACCGATTTCTTGCGCGTGGTGGCAGAAAACGTGGCAACAGACAGACAGACAGACACACACGTGAACCAAGTTATACCGAACCCTCGCTGTGCATGTGTGTGGAGGGTTAATCATGTGACCTCTGGGAGTGAGAGGCACCTGTGAAGTTTCTTTTCTCTTGCGACGTTTTTTCCCTGCTTTTTCCTCCGACTGGAGGATGGCGTCAAGAGAGAAGTGAGCCCTATCTTTCTGTCCTTCTTCCTCCATCATCAGCAACTCCAACTCACTCTGCAGAGTACATATATACCACATACCATATAGAGAGGGGAATTTTTGAGGGATAAATTTTTTTAAAAATAAACCATGCGAAAGAATTCCCCAATTCACTAACTGAAAATCTCTTAAACGTTGGCACTTTACGGAGAGAGCCCATGACAAGCAGCTAGGTTTGTATGACCTTATTCTGTTCATCTCCCTCCACTACTGCCTTCTTTGACCTCCTCTTGCTCTTCCCTGGCTTCTCGCTCATTGTCATGGCAACATCCTCGCTGAAGAATGGGTCGTCAAATCCGAGGTCACTCTGCTCATTGCCATGGTCACCATGAGTTGTTTCCTCATCACCATGGTTACCCTATACAACACAGGACCTGAGGCTAAGAAATGCTAATAAACAACAAACCTCTTTCTTCTTCTTTTTCTTTCTTTCTCGAAGGTACTGGTCCCAAGTCGTTCCTCCTTCTCCTGTGTTTTCTCTCACCCTCTCCTTCACCTCCTCCCTCAGTCCCGGCTCCCAGGACACCTCCATTACCTCTCCCTCTTCCTCTCCCTCATCTTCCTCTCCGTCTCCCCGCAGTAGAGAACGATACTTGGCAACTCTGTGGCTCAGTTTGGTCCCTGTGTGGTCCCGGTTTGGCTCCGCACCCCCCTCCCCTGGGGTGCCACACTCACTGCCACTGTCACTACCGCTGGACGAACCAAGGTAGGCGTCAAAGTCCATCTTTAGCATGTCATCACGTGAGAACCTTTGTGATGATTACATCATCCTCACATGACTGCAGGCTGCAATCTGATTGGTCACCTACTTTCTCATAGTGGTTTGCAGTCGTTTTGGATCAGTTTCATCCCACGTCAAATGAACCTTAGACTGCTGGAGAGCTGCCGTCACAAAACTAATGTTATTGTATATGACGTCATCATTACATCACTCATTTAGCTTACTCTGGAGGGGTGTATCCAACTGGAACACTTGTCTCCGTGACAACCGACGTCAGCTCTCGCTCGTCAAACATCATGTCATCAGGAATGAATCTGTTTGGTCAGAAGTCACATGACTCGGTAGACCACACCCCCAATCATACCTGAGGTCCAGCTTTCCCCCGCAGTGCTCATACTGAAGTCCGTCGCACTCCTCGTAGATGTGTTCAGCTGTGCCTACAGCAGAGGAAGGGGAACTAACCAATCAGACTCAGTAGTTCAGATATTTAACTGCTATATTCCTTTCAAAACCAACTGGTGCAGGAGAACTGACCTGTGCAGTCACACTCAACTACACTGGTGCAGGAGAACTGACCTGTGCAGTCAACCACTAACTCAGGACTACTGACTACACTGGTGAGACTGAGAGTCACTGTAGAACTGACCTGTGCAGTCACACTCAACTACACTGGTGCAGGAGAACTGACCTGTGCAGTCACACTCAACTACAGCATAGTAGTAGTTGAGTCTCTGCAGCTGGTACTGCCTCAGACGCTCGTTAGAATAGCCACACCCCTCCCGAGACGCCTCCTCCTCGGCAGCGGAGCAATTTGATTGGTCGAGGAGCTCGGCCGGGCCCTGCAAGTCCTCAGTTTTCATTCTCCGGAGTCCAAAGTCACTCGGGAAGACAGACACTCTTGTGATGGAGCCGCCTTGAGGCTTGAACGATGAGAGGAACACTGTCAGAGATAGAGAGAATATTTGAGCACTCTTCAATTAGAACATCATGATTATTGTGAAAGCTGCAGCAAAATACTGTGCTAACAAAGAGAAGTGGTACAGAGCTTGCCTTATCTTTCTGTTCTTAACACTTACAAGTTTTGAGCAAGTAAGGGGGAAAGACGAAAGTTTGGAGCGAGATATAATAGAAGCTATTAAGAGACCAGTAGGAGCATGTAGGATACCAAATATGTCAGTGGCATTGACACGGTCCCAGTCCATCCTACAGAGAGCCAGTCGCGAGCCCGTCTCCACGGAAACGGTGGGTGTTACCTCCTCCTCCCACCAACCATGTACTATCTGATGAGAGACAAAGCCACACCCACAAACACATGAGGCCACACCCACATACCACACCCACCTCTGGCTCCTTCAGACTCGTCACTTCCTCCACATCAGTTGAGGTGTCTGACTCCGCCCCACTGTCTTCGGATGACACTTCCTCTTCATCACTCCCACTATGGTGGGTGTGGTCTTCTCCGATACCATCATCAACAGCTCCTCCCACTTTAGAAACATCACCCTTAGCAACAATCTTTGTCAATCTCTTCTTCTTCTTCTGTTGTTCTTTCTTGTGTGGAGTAGCATTCTTGTCACCGTCGTCATAGAGATGATAGTATCTTCGCATGTCTTCGGCAGAGCTCTCGTGAACCTTGCGACCTCTCTTATCAACTCCATCTACACAAACAACATGCCACACCCCTCTACTAATAACCATTGAACTTTCAATGTTCCATTATTCAGTGGTTTCCATTCAACTCACAATTGACTCGGAATTTCTTATCAGTGAACATGGACTGGAACCGAGACCCGATCTTGACCTTCCTGACCCGGCGTGGAATGGTCTGCAGACGCCACACAACCACACCTACAAAATACAGTTAGAATCTCGACTTCTGACCTTGAACCTTGGGTCAGAGAGAATGTGAGCGAAGCGAGGATCGCTGGCAATCTTGCTGACAGTTTTGCTATCCATGACGACCACACGGCAAACACTGCCTGTAATCTACTGTAGGTGTACAACTAGTCTCTTCCCCTCTCTCCCCTCCTCTCAGGCTAGGAGGAAGAGCTCTTCCACCAAAGAAGCACCACCAGCAGGAACAACAGCCCCAGAAGAACAGGCACGGCCACCGTCAGTATCCTCTGCTTCCCCTCAGTGTTGTAAAGTCGCCTCTGTCGCTTCTCCCCCTTGCTCTCTTTCTTTACCGGCCCTCGCAGCTTTCGCACCATTCTGTATAAGCACACGTGGAAACTAACAAGCGCACGCGCGCGCGAGTAGTACGAAAGTGGGCGTGTAGCAATATGCGCATGCGCACATGTGGGGGTGGTTTTACTGTTCTTCAGCCTTTTTGTCGTCTTGTGAAAGTATACTTCAGTGTGTGCGCAGAGTTACAGGCTTTCCACCATGTCTTCGACTGTTAGCGAAACTGCTGTGTCTGTTAACGGACAGACTGCCGGTCAAACGAGCGACGAACCCGTAAAGGTGGGCGTTAAAAGGAAACGTACGCCATCCACGGAGGAGCAAGAGTCGGAGAGTAAGAAGACGGGGCTGGCGAACGGAGCCGTTGAGAACTCTGGGAGGGAGGGTGGCGAGGTGAGAGAGAGAGTGGCTATACTAGACGCAGGAGCTCAGTATGGGAAGGTACGGAATGGAGCATGTGTGTGTGTAGGGAGAGTACTAGTACACAGTGTTTGTGCAGGTGATAGATCGGAGGGTGAGGGAGTTGTGCGTGGAGTCTGTTCTTCTCCCCCTGGACACGTCGGCTGACCAGCTAGCCAGAGAGGGATACAGGTGAGGGACTCTCTCTCCTCTTCCTTTTTGAAAGTTCTTGCAACAAGTGAAATAAACTGTGAGGTTCGCATTTCAGCACACATCAGACTTTAACACTGCAAAAGCTGTCATAATAATAATATTATGACAATTGTATGTAAAAAGCAAGTGAAATATCTTCCCTCCACCTGTGATACTTACTAGAGCCATCATCATTAGTGGAAGTCCTGGTAGTGTGAATGAAACTCCGCCCACCTCACCCCGTGTGTACGATCCTGCGATATTCTCCTCGGGGCTCCCGGTCCTGGGGATCTGCTACGGGATGCAGCTGATTGCTCGTCACTACGGGGGCAGGGTAGAGAGGGGGGCGGTGAGGGAAGACGGCCAATTCACTGTCACTCTATCTACCGACTGCGACCTGTTTGCTGGCCTGGACACCAGACAAGAGGTAGTGTGTTATTTTTAGCAGATTTTTCATTACCATGTTGATCAGCTGTTTGGAACTTCATATCATGTGACTGTCATGTGACCCATGCAGGTGTTGCTGACTCACGGAGACTCTGTGGTTAAGGTTCCGCCCACCTGCTTGGTGGTGGGGTACAGTGGTGACATCATTGCTGCACTCCAACATTCGGAGTACCCCGTCTTTGGGGTACAGTTTCACCCCGAGGTACAGCTGACGAGCAACGGAACACAAATGATCAGGAACTTCCTCTATAAGGTGTGGTGTTCTGGGCCTCCCTGTTACCATGGTAATGAGTCCTGTGACCCAGATTGCAGGGTGCAAAGGTGACTACAGTATGGTCAGTCGGAGACAGATGTGCATTGACTACATCAGACGTAGTGTAGGAGAAGCCAGCGTTTTGGTACATGACATCACAATTACCTCATTAGTTATTACATCATAGTGATGTAATCATCATCTCAGAGCCTAGTGAGTGGTGGTGTGGACAGTACGGTGTGCACTGCCCTACTGGTGTCGGCTCTGGGACCGGAGAAAGTGGTGGCTGTTCACATCGACAACGGCTTCATGAGACAGGGGGAGAGTGCAAAGGTCAAGGAGAGTCTGGAGGCATTGGGACTAAGACTGAACGGTAGGCAGCTGTCATTGGGCAAGACCAGATTAGTTTTGATACAACTTTTGCCTGCGTCTCTAACTCTATAATATTCTCTGGTAAAAGTATCTGAGTAAGGGACACGGTGGGGGCGGCATAGGAAGTTTGTCGATGGTAATAAAGTTGCGAGAGGTGTCCTTTATTCAGAGCGTCCTTTTTCATAAACTTCCCACCATTATCCACTGTGTGTGTGTGTGTAGTGTATGACGCAGGCCAGCGGTTCTACAGCTCCCAGACAGTTGTCTCGGTGGTGTGTGAGCTGGGAATAGAGGAGAAGGTCACTGCCCCTCTTCACTCTGTCACCAGCCCCGAGGAGAAGAGAGTTATCATTGGAAACACATTCATGAAGGTGTCCACTTTTTAAAAATGTCACATTCCCAAACATGGTCCTGCTGTATGGGTGTTGTTTGCAAGAGAAAATATGTCTTGTGTCAAAATTGGAAATTACCAGTAACTGTGTGTGTGTGTAGGTAGCTGATGAGGTGATCATTGACCTTCAGTTGGAGGCCGACTCTGTTTATCTTGCACAAGGTACCGTATGTATATTCTGTCTATACACTGTATGTGAAATATTGCACTCCATTCGTCTGGTGCAGGGACTCTGAGACCAGATCTCATCGAGAGTGCGTCTCCAATGGCCAGTGCTCGAGCGCACGTCATAAAGACTCATCATAACGACACTCAGCTAGTTAGAGAACTACGCAGGAAGGTTACTAATTTCATTATAATAGTACAATTGGTCACTTTCACGTAAATCCTCTGTTTCCCACATTAGGGAAGGATCATAGAGCCTCTCAGTGAGTTCCACAAAGACGAAGTGAGGTGTCTTGGAATGGAACTGGGACTGCCACACTCCCTGGTCTACAGACACCCATTCCCAGGTACGTACGTCCCCATTCCATTGCTACTGAGCATGCTCAGAGCGTAATCGTCGTGGGAACTGCAGGGCCGGGGTTGGCGATACGAGTTGTGTGTCAGATGGAGGCGTATGTGAGGGAAGATTTCGCAACAACTAACACCGTTCTTTACCACCTCGTTGCCCTTGGTTGCAGGTTGGTTTCCCCTCTCGCCTCTTTTGTGCAAATGTTTCTGTATAAAGTATGGCATGTGAGCAAAGAACCATTATTTCACCCAAACTAGGTGCTTAGTTCCTTCTCTCATCTTGGCATTGTGTGTGTGTGTAGGGCGGAGGTAACGCCTGGCCCAGTTCAACAGCTGATAGAGAGAGCATCGACCGCTAATGACAGGGATTTCCTCTCCAGACTCACCGAGGGAGTTCCTCTCTCTGCCACCCTCCTGCCCATCTATAGCGTCGGGGTTCAGGTCCGTCCTGGTATACTGTCCTGATAGCATGTCCTGATAGTATGTCCTGATAGCACGTCCTGATAATCTGTCCTATAGGTCAAGTCTGTGTATACCTGCAGGGAGACTGTAGGAGTTATAACTATGTGGCGGCTCTATCAGCAGACGAGACGGCAGAGGTTCCGTGGTCTGAGGTGATGACTCTGGCTAAACTCATCCCCAGAATCTGTCACAACATCAACAGGTCCCTTCCTCGTATTCTCCGCCCCTTAGCTGTGATAGTGGCAACACATTAATTTTGTGAGACAGTGTGTGAACGCAAAATTTGAGTTGTTTTACAATTACGCAAAGTCTTATGGTATGTGGCATTTTGATATCCACAATTGCTGCAGCGTCAAGTCATCATACAATTAACCCTTTACCTCCCAGGGTGGTGTGGGTGTTTGGTAGTGCTGTACCAGGACCAGTGGTTGCCGTGACGCCCACCCTACTGACACTGTCGGTCCTGGCCACCCTGAGAGAGGTGGACGAAAGAGCACATTCCATTCTCCTTCGCCATGGTGAGCACCTGTACCATTCATTTCCAGGCTCTTCAAGAAATTGGTGTTTTTGCACATGGCTATGATTGTAATGAACCTGAACATACAAGTTTAGTAACTTGTGTCCCTATGATGTCACCTGAAATCATGTGCAAGCCCCACCCTCCACGCTATTTGTATAGTGTGCGATCAAAGCTTTCCCTTCCCATCCTCACCTCTCCAGATGTTGGCTCACGTGTCAGTCAAATGCCTGTTGTGCTGATTCCAATCGACTTCTCCTACCAACCTGACCTTCGACCTCCGCACTCTTCGTTCAAACGCTCAGTTGTACTTCGACCTTTCATGACGTCTGATTTCATGACGGGAGTTCCAGCTGTTCCGGGGAAAGACTTGCCTCTAGAGGTAAGCAGCTGATGAAAATTTAGGGAAATTGCTGTGGTTCAATGGGAGACTTTTACAGATCATTTCGAATTATAATCATTATCTCTCTCTTTGTCCTCCTGTTTTCTTTTTTGGCAGGTGCTATCCGAGATGGTGACTGGGGTATTAGGTGTGTCAGGAATAAGTCGTGTTCTCTATGACCTCACTCCCAAACCACCCGGAACAACGGAATGGGAATAGGAGTATGTATTACATCATCATCATGTTCTTCATCAGCCATTGACTTTGCATTGGAGTTCATCTGCATTACGTGTGACGTAATGAATGAAATTATTGCGCATGCGTACTGAGGCACAGCTTGCGGAAGGTCGAAGGTGACGCAGGAGCGTGTGCAGAAGTCTCGCCCTCCTTTCCCTTCTCTCTCTCAGCTGGCCGTCTAAAACTGGTGCCGCGTTTACCCGTATTTGAGGAGGGGTAGGATGGAGCCGAGCGGGCGGTCAGAGGAAGAAGACGAAGACACGCAAAGCAGCGGCGTCGGCGGGGATTCGGGCGGGCCTCAAGAAACGCCCCTCCCTCCCGACGAGGACGGGGAAGGCTCGGGGAGCGAGGAGGAGGGAGACACGAGTGACAGCGGCTCCACCAACTCCTCCACGTCCAGCTCGGGCAGCTCCAGTTCCAGCCCCATGGCGGCGGGGTCGCCGGGGGACGCGGCCGCGGAGACCTACAGCGGCACGCTCATGCAGACGGACGAATTCGGCGACCATTTCCACGTCAACTGCGCGGGAAACGCCGCCAAGTTTTACCTCAACCGCTTCGCCCGCGGCAGCATCGGCCGCTGCGTTCTCTTCAGATCTCGCTGGATTACTCCGAACGAGTTCCAAGCCATCTCGGGTCGTCAGAGTTCCAAGGACTGGAAGCGGAGCATACGTCTCCGCGGGCGGTGTCTGAAGGAGTACATAGCCCAGGGGCTGTTTCAGGAGCACCTGAAGACATGTGCGTGCAGGATTTGCTCGGGGGAGGCGGCAGAGCACCTGCGACTGGAGGGAGAGATGGCTCTGGCGGCCAAGCGGAGGCGACTCAGCCAGGCAGACGGAGCCTCCTGCACTGTTGCCGGGCAGAGGTGAGTGAGTAGAACTCAGAGAAAAGGGTTCTGCCATTCAAATTTGGACTCACCCCCCAAAACCATTAATAATCAGTTCTATGTAGTGTTTTTAGGTGAGATTTTCGTCAAGTATGACTTTTGTGTTTAGCTCCACATTTGGAGACGTGGTGATGCAAGACTCCGCCCGTAGTCCAACTAACGTTGGTGTTCCGCCCGGCAAGAGAAGGAAGGGGAGAGGTGGGCGTATCCACCGGGTGTGGTCTCCCAGTGGAGGTATATATAGTATAGTGTATTGACAATTTCACACAAAACTATGACTGTTTTGTTCGCAGAGATGGCTCAGGAATTATCGGATGATGAGGAGGGAGAGGAGGGGGAGAGGGGGGAGACCCTGGAGGACGAGGCTAGGGAGAAAAGACAAACATCAGCAGGTCAGTCACTTGGAGTTGTCTTATCAGACGTGTGGATTGTCTTTCTATTCTCGCCACAGAGCCATCAGGAGAGCTGCGTCGTCGCTCTCTGCGGTTTGCGGACCGGAGACACACGGGGCACCGGACGGAGCTGGGCACATTCTCACGTCGACCTCGGGAATGGGACACAGAGGAAGTCGCCGAGTTCCTCAAGTCTCAAGGCTACGGCCAACACTCTCAGATGTTCCTGGAGGAAGGCGTGGACGGAGAGAGTCTGTTCCTCTTAAAAGAGGGTCACCTTGTGGACACGTTTGGACTGAAACTTGGACCAGCTCTTAAACTGCTCTACACTATTGGCTGTCTTCGACACCCTCCGGTCTAGTCTGGTACCCCCTCCCTTTACCACTACCACGGTAGTCTGGTACCCCCTCCCCCTTACCATTACACCCCAGTCCGGCCAGAAAGCTCCTCTTCATAATAGTCTATTATCTACTCCACTTTCACCGTTTATGTATTCTCCTGATTGTCATGTAGTCTTATGTAATTGTCTTTCAATATTGTCATGTGATCTTATGTAATTGTCCTGTTATTGTCATGTGATCTTATGTAATTTTCTTCTGAATCTTGTGGTTTGTCTTATCTATCGTGACATCTGCATATAATACATGTCATTATCATCACAGGTCAACATTCCACCACCCAATACCTATGTATACATGAAGTATACCACTTGCAAAAATTCATCATGTGACATGATTGTACAATAATCGTGACGATGATGTAATGCTAATGATGTCATGATGATATAATGCTAGCAATGTTGGTCTAGCCAGGAAGTGATTTCATCAAGCTCTGCCTCTCCATCTTGGCCACGCCCTCTGGCACTACAGCTAACAAACTCTATCTTCACTCCCTTCGGAAGATCACTGAATTCAAATGGCTTCCCAGATTTACCAAGGGGTTTGGCTTGGGATTGACCTTTTGACCCCAGCGAAGTCAGCTTGGCTGAGCGGCTCACTCTCAGTTCTGATCTGAAAGAGTGAGGAGATGGGGCTAAATAATATTGAATAATTGTCTTAGAAGAATAGGGTAAACCAAGGGTCAGAATTCGATGTTTTGACCAGGGCCCAAGGCATACTTTTCAACACAGAACTACAATTCTTGGTGAAATGCTTTCAGCAGATGCTCGACAAAATTCCTGCCATCATTATACTCACATCTCTTCTTCTAGAAGTTTCCTGACGGCCATCTTGTTCTTGGCCAAAGAAAGGTCCTGTTTGTTACAGGTCATTAGGACAGGGACTTTCCCCTTGACGACCGCTGGCTCCTGAAACAGGTCGTAAACCAGTTCGGTGACCCCCCGAACCTCGCTGGGGAAATTATCGCTGTCTATCACCACGACAACTGCCCTGGGGAGATCAACGACACAGCGTTTAACATTTTTACAGAAACCATGTTTTGTGATTCGTGAACACATGCATTTCTACTTTGACTACGGCAATTGTAAACACACACCGAGAGGAGGAACACACACCCAGAGGAGGAACACACACCCAGAGGAGGAACACTGGGCAGAGATAACAAAGACCAGATACTACACTGCTCGAGAGGTGTGTTTAATAATTGCATTCTTGGACCAAACTTATTCGCAGAAATTGTGGATAATGTTTGTGTCCAGCTTGTAATGCAGATGCACAATGAGAAAGGAACAAGTATAATTATAGTCTGGTTTATTACCTCAGAGAGTGTTTGTATTTGTTGAAGACAGTCTGTCTCACTCTCTCGTCTCCTGGCACATCCACCAACTCAACTGCTTTACCCTGACACACCAGGCCAACAAGATAAAGGAAAACACGAAAGTTGGAAGTGAGGTAGCAAGAGAGATGAAAATGCTGGATTGTACACACCTTGTTCTTAGGAGTGAAGTTTGCCTTGTTTTCCTTTATCGACACTTGTGTCTCTCTAAACTGGCCATACACCAGCTGAGGTGGGGAGGGAGGGAATGAAAAGGAAACGAGGGAGGAGGACAGGGGCCTACTCTCATGAAGAGAAGCGTCTTCCCAGAGTTGCTAAGTCCCAGCAGACATATGTACCTACCCCTGCTTCCCTTTCCTCCACACACCAGCCAGAGCATCACTAAACAGACAGTTGCATTACTCATTTTGTGCTAGATTTTTGAGATAGGTAAGAATGCAAAGCCTTTCCTACGTGCATGCACTACGAAACGCTGGATAATTTTGAAATGCTTGAACCTGGCATTTTTCCTCACCCAAGAAAGCCAGTAGAGAGGTAACTACGGTCGCTGCAATGACTTCAGCCTCGTACTCCGCCACGTCAGGCGGCAGAATGTCTCGTACAGAACTCCTCAGTTGCTCCCACATCTCCGCCATTTTGGCCGAACTTTGAACCTTCCGCGCGTGGCGTGAAGTTTTGCGCATGCGTATATACCCAACATATGCGCATGCGCTAAACGCAACAAATGGCGGCGGAAGAGGGGAATTCAAGAAGAAAGGTTTGGTTTTAGCTACTTCTGTAGGTTTCCAGTGTGTCCGTGTCACGTGATGCACAGGGTGTGGTGCTCACCAAACCAGTGGTGTATGGAAACATTGCAAGATACTTTGGAAAGAAGAGAGAAGACGATGGCCACACCCACTCCTGGACATGCTACCTCAGACCTTTCAAGAACGAGGTAATTATGACGTAATACTCCAATCACGATACGTAAGTGTGGCTCCACTCACTCACAGGACATGACTGTGTATGTGAAGAAGGTGCAGTTCAAACTCCACGACAGCTACCCAAGCCCCGTTAGAGGTGGGTGTGGACTAAAACATCTGGAAATGAAGGGACACCTAAGGTTCTACCTCACACAAATACATTAGTCTCTAAATTATTACTTACACACTGCCTCATGTCTCCTCTCCCTCGGCTCAGTGGTCATGAGACCGCCATATGAAATCAACGAAACCGGGTGGGGAGAGTTTGAGGTCGTCATCAAGATATTCTTTGCCGACTCTGCAGAAAAACCAGTCAGTCCAGTTTGTTTTAACCCCTAAGAAGCCAGAGAGGGTTTCTCTGTCTAGATCACAATCTATCATCTGATCAAGTTGTTTCAGACGGACCCAGCCGTCATGGCAGGGAAGAAGAACCTCGTCTCTGAGAATTATGACGAGCTGGTCAGTAGTCTGCACACACTGACACCACTCTACACAATCTGACACACCTGTACACAATCTGACACCACTCTACACATTGAATGGAAGTGTGACTCTCACAGTTAGGGTCTTCAGTCATCCCGGTGGAGCTCCACGAATTAGCACTAGATTGAAACATTTCTTAACCCAGTGTCCATTATAATTATTAAGTTCCATTATAATTATTAAGTTCCACTCTTACAAGTCCCTCACTATTTCATGTTGTGTGCAGGTGTTCACAGACCCCACCAACACCATGTACCATCTCCTCACCTCTCCCAAACAAATGGTCCCGGCCATACGACACGAACCAGGAATTGACTGTGTGTGAGACTTAGCGATGCACCAATGTTTTGAGTATTTTATACGGCGACAAACTTTTGAGGCAAAAAAAGTGTTCTAGAATAGAACGTTGCTCATCCAGTTAATTTCATATAACTGTGAATATACTGCAAAACGTTGGTGTTTAAAAAACTTATGTCAGTACACTGTCTCCACAGACAAGGAGAAGGAGCAACGGAACCTTGCTGCTCTAAATAATGCTCACCGTAAGCTGAAGAATGAAATAAGTGACCTCAGCGATCGACTCAAGGTCAGGGCAATAGTCGACCTCTTTTCAGAGGACACTCAGTTCTGCCCCATACTAGTACATTAGTGTATTAATTAAGGGACATCTCTGATTAAATGTCCCGATGGTGTCCCATATTCAGAAGGTACTATAATATACACCTTCAGATGAGCAGAGAAAGCATTCAGAGACTAAAGGAACAAGTGGAACAAGCAGAGGAGGAGGAACTTGTTGGGACTTAGCCACGCCCAGTGACCACACCCACTCCACTCATTTTTACACGTTCATAAAAAATCATACAACATTGTGATGTGCAACTGTCTGTCATGTATCTTGATCTGGTGGTACAATACTGCAGAGAAATTTTGGCGTGGCCAAAAGTTAATTAAAGTGGGTGTGGCTAACCTGCTGTTGGAATGCAATTTGAGGTAGAGTTCCGCCTTGGGTCCGAAGGTCATTCTCCCTGCAAACTCTGCGTGTCCTGAACTTGCGATACTGGCCTAGAGATGTAAGAATCAGGACGCCTCTCCAATCAGGACAGCGACTAGTGGTGTCCTGATGTACAATACCTGTCTTGTAGCCCATATCTTTGCCACCGAGCCAATGGGCGGAGCTGGGCGGGGTAGGAATTGCGAAGCTCCACCCCCTCCTACAGGGCCACTCCCCCTCTCGTATCGCTGGGTCCGAGGGTCCATGTTCCCTCGGTCCTGATCCCATACCGTAGTACCACTGGCCCCTATTCCACCTCCCTCGTGATCACCTGACTCTCTGTACCTGTGGAGGCACACCACTTTCTACACCAAGGTTCTTCAAGGAAGATATAATGCAGGTAGCACTACTTTATACGGAGGTGTTCTTTCGCCAAATCACAACATTTTCAGAGAGGTGCTCTTTATTTACATACTTTCTTAGATTGTGAGAATCATAGACTCACCCGTTGCCGGGTGGCGGCCAGTGGTTGCTATCGCCAGATCTCTCCCCTCCTCCGTGAGGAGTCTTCCTCGCCAGCTGCATGGAGGGGGCGTGGCTTGTTGCCTGGGCAACGACCTCGGCCAGTCGGTGATGAAGCTCCGAGTTGGTTCTGAAGGTATCTGTGAGAGACTCCAGTTCACTCCACATCAGACGATACTGCTCGTCCCTGTATGGGGTCACGGGGTCAGAGGTTGATTGACGGCAGACGCTGAGGTGATAGATGACTCACCGTTTAACCCCTTTAGCTCTGGTGCCAGTGCTGGGAACGGAAAGACCTTCTCCTCCTGCCTCCTTTGACTGGAGTGACTTTATCACCTGATGCAGGGAGGGAGAGAAAGTGATAGTTTTACTACCTGCTTCCATCTGCCATAGAACCATCCAAGGCATTTTTCACCTAAACCCTATATACCAACTCTGCAAAAAGCTCAAAAGTGTACAGCATGCACCGTACACAAAGAGATGGACCTTCTTGCACTCCTCAAAGTCCTGTTCGGACATGGCATCTCTCCGTACGACCACGGGGAGAGGGTGCAGGTCTTGACTCAAGGTGTAGATGAGAGTGTCTGCATAGACCAGTGGCCAGTGGCGGCTCTCTCTCTCCAGCTTACTCATCACTACAGCCGAAGCAGGGAGAAGAGGTGAAATGACGTGATATGAAGCAAGTCTGTACTAATGTTGTACCAATCTGCAGAGGAAAGCGGTGAGGGGCTTTAGTCCTGTCCTCGGGGATGGGGCTCAGCATGTTGCTGGCTGCCAACTCACTAAAGTCCTACAGCGGGGCAGACAAGGACAGAAATTGAAACTGTGGATCAAGGTGTGTGCGTCAAACTGAAAGCAGACAGAAGTGGTACATACGGAGATTCGGTAGTCGGTGATGCGGCCTCCCCAGCCCTCGCTGATCGATGGAGGATCTTCCACATGGTTCCGAGTGGACGGTATACAATGGAGGTATATTGAACCTGTTTGGACCATAGTGGTACATGCCACAGTGGTAGGGGGTAGGGGAACCGTACCGGCATGGTTCATGAGGACATGTGTGATCAGTTTCTGAGCTCCTTTTCTCGGCTGTTCCAGTAAAACTGGTTTACCGGAGAGGACAAAGTTCACGAGGCAAATTGTGGGTCGGCTGGTAACCTGAGAACATTGTAGGCCCAGAATAAAAAGTACAGTAGGGCAGTTTTGAACAAGCCGCGAAAGTTTCTTAAACAAATTCTCACTTGCTATAAAACTGTGAAAGTAAAATTTTATCGCTATAATGGCATCGCTGACTAAATCTTTGGTAGTTTAAAACTGTACATAAAATTCGATCATTGAATTTTCAGTAAGTTCTCTAGAAGAAGAGAAAGGAGTACTAACACTAGTGGGAGTGACGCGGTAGGCGCTGGTGCAGGGCTGCAGCTCCAGTGACGATGTTTTGGGAGTGGACCACTTGAGAGAGAGTCTGTCCTTTGCCTCCTTCTCTCCTTTCTTCCCCATGGCACCTCCACCCAGGACAAACCCTGTACGACACATGGGAGGCCACCAATGATACACACAGTGCAATAAGAAAGTCAAACATCTTAAACAGTTTTCTTACACTACTTTTCTGCACGAGACATGATCAATGTAATGATGGGTCCACACGATGCAGTGAAGACATATTTACGATCTACTATGGGTCACGAGAGACTGAGTGGGCTTGCATTGTTGGCTGTGCATTACGACATGGACATTGATTGCGAGCATGTTCTCAATCATTTTGCAAGAAAAAAATCCCAGAAGAATGCAAGTGTTTTGCACTCAGCAAAGTGAAACCTGATCTATACAGCCCCCCCCCCCCTTTGCACAGTCATGTATGAGACAAAGAAAAGCATGGAGTAAGAGACATGAGAGAACAGCAGGACCCGTGTCGAGGAATGTCAGTCAAACAGAAGCCTCAAAACGCCGAAAGTCATCTCGGCTAATTGAGCCTTGTCTTTCGCAATACTCTCTGATCAAACATTCCATTCTTCCAGCTTCGCTGCCAAGATAACTGCTAGCTATCAGCAACGAATGCAGCTATAGACATGGCTGTTAGTAATGGTGCAGTGTTTACCAGTGAGGCAACTGTTGCTGCTAGTGATACCGACAGAGAGGAGCTGGAAAGGCAGGTGCGACTAAAAGATGATGTCATTGAAAACAAGACAGACGAGTTGGTGTCGCTGGGGAAGAGAGTGAAGGCATTGGAGAATGAGGTGGGGGTGCTGTGGGAGAAACTGGGGAAGATGGGAGAGGAGAAGAGGGAACTGGAGATGAAGATAGCTGTGGTACAGGAGGAGGCGGCCCGCAGTCTCACCAGCATGGTGGCAGCTCAGAGGGAGCGGCGGAGGGAGGAGAGACGGAACAACGAGGTGAGACAGCAGCTGGAGCTGCAGGTGGCGATGCAGGCAGAGGAGCTGGGCCATCTGAGACAGCAGCTGCGAGAGGAGGCCCAGGCACACAGAGACGATGTGGAGGTCATTCAGAAACAGCTGCGGAGGATGAGAACCCAGCTGGAGCGGGCTAAAGGTCTGGGGAACATGTCCGCCTCTCAGCCCAGCATTCCCTTACACTACAACACTCTTCCTCCTGGACCTCCGCTGTTGGCACAGCGACATCAGCCCCTCCTACACACTGTCTCGGACGTCCCTCCGTCTTACCAGCAATCCATCGGAGAAACCACACCCACTTTCACCACGCCTCTTCAGACCACACCCACTAATCAAGTCTCATACCAGCGAGCCCCGGCCACATTCCATACCGGTGTGACGGCATTCCACGGTCACCTCTGCTACTTTTCCTCGTTCATGACAACACATATTCACGTCTATGACACTGCATTGGGGGCGTGGCACAAACTGCCGAGTTGCCCAGTAACCAACTTTGGTCTGGAGGTGGTGGGGCAGAACATCACGACAATAGGTGGGAGATTGGTAACTGAGTCATCTCTCTGCACAACGCAGCTGTTCAGCCTGTCTGCAGCAGCGAGGGGAGAGAGGGGGGCGTGGCTTGCGAGACTACCATCTATGAAACTAGCACGAGCCCAGCCCGCTACCACTAGCAACAGTCGCCTGGTGATAGTTGCCGGGGGCGAGGTCGGAGATCACAAGACCTTCATAGCAGATATCGAGGTACTGGTCCTGGAGACAGAGCAGTGGAGTACGGTTGCTAGCTCCCCACTCGGCAACTACAGTTGGCTGACGGCCGTCCTGTGTGAGGACCAGCTGTACCTGCTGGAGGGGAATGGAGTGAGAGAGAGAGACAACATCCACGTTCTCCACATGGGGGCTCTGGTCGAGGGACTCCGGGAGCCTGTCACTCAGCAACACAGGGGGAGGAGGGGAGGGTTACCATGGAGACAAGTTCGGCCAGCGCCTGCGTCCAACACGACGTGCGTGTGTGCCAAAGGTCAGCTGGTTGCCGTAGGCGGCATCGACACGAGCGGGAAAACGACCAATCAGATTTGGGCATTCAGCAAGAGCAAGGACCAGTGGAAGACACTGGGCAGTCTCAAGTCCCATCGCTATCGGTCGCTGGTGAGCGTCACGGCAACGGGGAGCCTCCTGGTGATTGGAGGACTAACGAAGACAAATTTCACTGACCAAATGGAAATTTTTGACTCATACTAACTTTCAGACATGTGTACCTAATAATGTGCATTCTCTCACGCATACAAAGTCATAACTAAATTGCATTGCCACACCCTCTATGACATAATTGCCACACCCCATTACATCATTAACATACCTCCTCTGAGGATGTCCCTGTGGGCCTCAGACAAATGAATCAATTCCACGTCATAATTGGCACTGCCACTTCCTGATTGCTCCTCCTGTATATGACGAGACCCCATTCCATTCCAGTCCCATTCCAGACCCAGTCTGGGACCCACCTTCATTGGAATGCCGGTAATTAGTGTGGTGTTGAGGTCGTGGTGTAGTTGGCATAGCAACAGACATTTGTCGACCAGGAGATGTGCGGGGAAGGAGTAGACAATGGAGCTGACGTGAGATGAGAGCTAAGAGAGAGAGGAAGAGGGAGGAATGACATATAGCAAAACTCCATCACTCTACGCTAACGTAGAAACACTTTTCTTGTTCGAACTTTCTGCCTTTTCCCCATCACACTTCAAAGTTCTTACTTTCCCCCTATCTCGGCTAAAACTTTTCCACTCTGAACTGTACATGTTTCTTCCTCTACCTGCTCCAAACAGGAATATTGATTCTTCCCTATGTATTGCAACTGTAGTCATAGCATATGTACCTGAGTGAGGGGAGCATCTTTGACGTCGGAAGTGGGCGTGGTGTAACTATTGACGATCACCAGCTGGCATTGCGCAATAGCCAGCCGGGCAGGGTCTCCTTTCTGTCGTATGTCACTGTTCTCACTCCTCACCAGTCTCACCAGAATATCCTCCAGATCCTTGATGTCTGAGGAACTGCAAACAATTTTTTCAAAGCTGAAAAACTTATTGCCCAGACCAACTGCGAAAAATGTTCACGAATTTGGAAATGCTATACAACTCCCAACTTTTTAACACAATAGGTTTAAGAAACCAGGTTTTACGTGTCAACTGAAATTACCTGCGGAGGGAGCAGAGGAGAATGAGGCGACCTTGGTTTGATGGAGGGGTGTGACCAGGAGATGTAGTGGCTGCGTACTGCGTGGCTGTGAGTTGCGCCAAGCAACGAACACCGTACTGAATTCCCTGGATACATGGACTCAGGAGTGTGGGGATGTGGCCAGTGGGCGGAGTCACAGGGACCGTGCAGGGCTGCCCAAACTTCTGGAATCCAGCCAATACCTAAGGAACAACAGACATTAGAGATACAGCAGGAAACATTTGAGAGAGAGCAGTAGTTCAGAAACGAATTTCGCAGAGAAAACTTCCACATATTGCTGTCGCCACAAACTTAAAGTTTTCCTTTACAAGTGTTCCACTATTTTATGTTATGAGACATTGTACAAGATCAACACCCAAGAACTGGATTTAGAAACCTTGCCGAGCTCCTGGTCTTCATCTCTCCATGAGTTGACTGGTTGACATTTGGTGTAGTCCACAGCTGCCACACACACCTGCCGCTGGTCCGGGAACAGGTCAAAGGTCACCCTCACGTACTTGACGACTCCCTGCACACAGCACGTCCACACCGACTTGGGAACCGTCTGTGGAGATACCGGATTTAGCTTTGGACGCAAAGGTTAAATTCACCTTTGTGTTGCTAGAGGCTTTTCCTTTCCCGAGGCTAAGGTCGAGCGAGAGCGGCCGTCCGCACGACTCGCCGCTGAGACTGTTGGCTGCTATCACCAGAACCGTCTTCTCCATGATGTTGACCCGTTGTTATGGTGGGCGTCAATTAGAGTAATTACACGTGGGTGCGTTCCAAATAGAGTGAACAGTCTAAAGTTTGGCGGGGAATGGCGGCAAGGTTAGGAGCTTGCAGAAGACATGTAAACTAAGCAACGTAAAATTGTTCTCTCTTTCCTCCTGTCGTCTCTGACGCGAGCAGCTCTAACCGCAGTCTCTGGCGTGTGGTCACGGGACATTCCGCGCTCAGAGATCACGTGAGACACCCCTTCCCCCCACAGCAGATCAGACACACATCATACCTTGCTACAGGCTCTAATAGAGAGGGAATTGAGGGACTCACTCACTAGACTGAGGGAGGGTGTGGCCTACTATCGACCTCCCTGCCCAGCGTCTGAAAAGAAGATCAGAGATGGTGGAAAATTGAAGGGAAACAAACTTACCCTTGTCCTTGAAATTAGCTCTCACCTGGTGGGTGTGGTCTCTAGGGTGGTTACCATGGAAATCAGTGTCCTCTGTTACCATAGCAACTAGATCAGGAGCAGGCTCCGGATTTGTTTGAGGGGTTTCTAATAAATGCCCACCTGGGTACACTGGGTGAGTTGAGGGAGAGGGTGAGAAGTGAGGGAGGGAGGAGGGAGGTAGTGGAGGAGGTGGCCAGCTACTACCACTCCGAGAGACTCCACCTGCTCCGCTGTCTGAAACACATGCTGGGGTTTTGGCAGGATCCCAATCACCCATTCCGGGTCTGTCCCGATCCCATTCCGTACCAGTTCCTTTACTCCCTCATGTCTCTCAGGATGTCTATAGTGTATGTATTGGAGAAATTACGAAAGATGAGAAGTCATTCATCAAATCCGTGAGTCAATTTCTCTGTCACCAACTGATCATGTGATAGATTTTACTGATCATGTGACTTGTTTTACTTCCACCAATAGTTATGGAGTCAGTACCAAGCTGCAGTAGACAATGATCTTCCAAGTCAACTCTCTGTGAGTGTTCAACTGTTTTACACTAAGTTTGAGAAATAGTTTGTTTACCCGTGTGTCTGTGTTGCCTGGTAACTGGGTTGCTGTGGTAACCAACATGTCCAGGTGAGTGAGGAGACTCAGTGGAGTGTTCAGAGATTGGTAGAGCAGGTTAGTGGGCGGAGACAAATGAGTGTGGCAGTGGGTGTGGTCTCGTTCTGTAGGTGGAGCTTCTGGAAGCGATACTTTTGTACTACAAGGACTTTGTTCATGAGGGGGCCGAGCTAGTGTGCCACGCCCAGCAACTGTGGAAGAATGGGTGTGGTCTGCGACAGAGTTGCCCCGTCTCTCTGGTAGATGGAGCTGAGCTTCTTCAGCGACACATTGGGTGAGGAGGAGATCTGTTTGCCTGGGCTTGAAATATTCCATAGTGAAAATAGGGGTTGTTGAAATTGTTCGTACTTTTAGTGATCACGTACATACGTAATGGGAAAGGACAGGTCAACCAACCATTCTGAATATAGCTGGAGTGTGCAGTGCAATGACTTAAAACTTCTCAACCCAAACTGTTTGTGTAAAGTGAAAGGTACCACTGTACCCCTCTTTCCCCTCCCCAGCCACCTCTGTTCCCTGATTCTGGTCGAATCACTTGACCTGGAGTCCATTCTGGCTCACCTGGAGGACCCTGGGTATGCCGGTATGGGAATAGGACCACTTCACAACCTTTCACTCCATTTCTCCAGATGTTTAGAGGACCACCATCTGCTCAAGTCTGATTCCAGTTCTGAAGTTGAGGTATGGAAGACTGGGGTGGTTAAACTGTACTAACTGCTTCTTTTGTCTGTCCAATCCAGCAACTGGACAACCTGTTTTCAAAGTGGGGTGACCAGGATTGCCTCACCCCTGTCCTGCTTTCCTGGGCTCTCCTCCAGTTTGCCAAACAACAGTCGCACACTGATCTTGAGGTGCGAGCGGAAGATTAATGGACGGAGACGAATTTATGATTCTTTTACAGGATGTTAGGTTGCTAGGTAACCGAGCACTAAGTGGAGGGGTATTTCAGTATGTTCGGTGTCTCCTTGGTTCCCCGTTTTTCTCACGAGAGAGGGTGAGTGCTTACATCTTCAAATATTGTACCAGTCACTCTGTGTCTCTCTCATCAGCCGGTGGGTGGGGCATGTCGCAGCGTTCTGCATGCTCTCCTCGCTCTGGCTCTCTCGCAGTTCAGTGACGACAGTCTCGGAGACCGTCAGGTGACTCTCATGTGATCCCTCCTCTCTGTCGTGTGACCCACTGTTTGTAGGATCTGGTTGCCATAGCATCGCTGACTCTGACACACCCACCACTGAGACTCCAGTTTTGGGATCAGGTCAGTCCCCTGTCTGGCGTCGGGCAAAAGTAGGAAGAGAAAATTTCTCTTTTTTACTTTAGACAGGGATATTTGTATTGTGGCGGGACCAGTAATCTGTGGAATGTACATGAACAGGAAATGTTCTCTCTGAATGTAAAAAGTTTCCCTCCTCTGAGTTTCAGGGGCTGAGTGTTGGAGTGGGTCTGCTGGTCAACTCATCTCTCAGTCATTTCCCCTCCTCTTCCTCCCTCACCTCCCTTCTCCTCTCGCTGGCCGGAGACCAAGTGTCTGCAGGTCACGTGTGGCAGCTGCTGGCCTCTCTACCTCGCTTCACAGAGAAACTGCCTCACAGGGAAATAGGGACACAGGTGTGAGCCAAAGAGTAAATCAAAAGTAGTTTCTGGTCTTTACCAACATTTCTAGCTCATCATGACTGCCAGTTTCATTGGTCAAAATTGCCAAATTTAGTCATATCAATATTTGTAGTTGCAAGTCAAATTTGAATCAACATTAGTTTTGTATGTGCCAAAGAGTATACGTTTTCAACAGTGCACCAGTTTATATCCATGAGAAGGAACATGGGGTGCTGAACTGCCATCTCTCTATAGGTGAAGGTGGTGACAGCTGATGAGGGGGAAGCCCCCATGTTGAAGGTGATTAAGCCACGCAGCTTTTACACCAGCGAGGCTCGCTGGCTCGGTCTCCATGGTGTTGTCCTTGGCAATGGGGTGTGCGGGGAGGTGTGGGAGGGGTGGGAGGGGGAGGAGCTTGTGTCTTGGCCCCTCCCACACAGTGTGTCCGGATGGGACCTCCTGGCTCTGGAGATAGTCAGACTTCTCCAGACCTGTCCACTCGGTGAGACCGACCCTCTTGGTCTACTCCGTCTCAGGGCTAAGTGTCCTCTTCTTTAGATTCGTCCACTGATGTACTGGTTGCCAGGGTGACGGGATCTATTCGTCTAGTCACCCAGTTGGTGAAATCTGATTGGTCGCTTGCAGCTGAATTGCATCACATTACCTCACAGGCCTTTTCCATGGTTCAGAGGTAATGAAGACACTTCTTTTTTTCTCATCATTCCTCTCTCCTTCTCCCGGCAGATTTGCTGCTCTTCCTCGTCCTCCCACCACTCTGCTCGCCTCCTGCGTCTCCTGTCTGGCTGTCATGGCAACCAACAATACAGCTGAGGTGAGGATGATGTAATTCCGAGACCAGGGATTTGGGAAGCCACATCTGCAGCAGTGTGAAGGGTGTGATTGAACTGTACTATAGTATATACCAATTGTGTGTATCTTTCATCCGTTTGTTTTTCTGTCTGTCTGTCTGTTCTGCAGACTTGGTTGACTCTCGGTCAAACCGGCTTTCTCCCCTACCTCTCCTCCTCCCTCCCTCCCTCACACGACAACTTGGAATGGTCTGCTTTTGTCATGTGACATTCCTTAATGATCATGTGATCTCTGTAACTCACCCCCAGCCTCTCTGTCGCCCCTGGTAATTACGGGCAGCTCCTCAAGATGGCGGAATGCCCCGAGGGTGGCTACCCAGTTACCATGGCAATGCTTGATCTCCTAGCAACCACCTGTCTCCCTGGCAACAGTGTCGTGTTACGAGAGCAGCTGGCAACGGTAATCTACATAATGAGAGAGGTTTTCCTCTCGTGTCACAAGTGGAAGTTCAAACTTCGCTCCGGTCGTCGTCAGCTGGGTAAGTGGGTGTGGCTGGTGGGTGTGGTCTATCTCTGACTCCACCCACAGAGCTGGGGCTGCTGAGGTTCTGTCACGACACTCTTCAGAGACACAGGGACTCTCCCTTGTAGGTTTCCATGGTAATCCCTGTGTGCCTTGTTCTTCATCTACTCCCTCCCTGTTAGTTCCCTGGGGGTTGTCGTGGCAACCCAACTGTTGAGTTGTCCGGGGGAGCAGGGACTTCTCCCTCTCCTCTCCCTCCCTGTCTCCACACTCAACTCACTACACTCCGCAGCTCTTGGGTATGTCCATACATGGTTTGTTTCTGTGGATCATCACGGGCACAAAATAAGATGGATGGCTCAACTATTGTCTATTTCATGGAACGTTGTTTCAAAGGCCAATCGCATTGAATTTCTGTAGACCTCCTGCGGTTTGACAGATTGTCGTTCTCCAAATTCTTTGCTCAGTTTTTTTATTTCGTGCCCCTTTCTCCACTTTCAGGACATCGTCTGTGTCGCCTGCGGTCGAGAGTGTCCGGCTCTCTCTCTCCATCCTCAACCTTCTCCTCCATGCCCCGCCCACTCAACAGGTGAGACCACACCCATCTTGTCATCTCACTGTCGGAGATTCTGTCCACAGTCCAGTCTCCTGGAATGGAATCTGGCCAACACATATCCTCACATTGTCTCCAACATTGCCTCCTACATCTATCACTATGGCGACTCCAGAATTCCCATTGGTAATATTTCGTCCACAATAATGGCATTGGTAGCTGAAAATTAATTTTGGTCTGCTAAATCTTTTTGCACTGGCAGTAAGCAGGCACAAAAACATCCTTGTCGGAAAAATTTCTGATGATTCGTTAAAAATTGTATGTTTCATTATGTATTGGTTTCCAGGGGCGACAGCGGTGCTGACTCGGCTATGCCAGGCAACCCCTCTCTCTGTGTTCTCTTGTCTGGGCACCGACGCCGTCGTCAAGAGAGACGTCTTCATCTCACGACTCTCGTCTCGTGTCGAGGTTTGATATACTCCCCTCCCTAGTGTCATGTGACTGTCATGTGATCAGGAGGAGGAGCTGAAGAGAGGGGTACTGGGTCTCCTGACTGAGGCGGTCTCCTTGCAGCCTGCTCTGGCTGAGCTGTTTCTCTCTGTCCAGTCTTCTTCCTCCCAGGGACAGGTGTGGCCTCCCCTCTCTCTTATATCATGTTTTTTTAGCCCATTGCGGCTGATACTGCACAACAGCATCACTCACCTAGTAATAGTGGAAGTATAGTAGGCCTCAGTAGTTCGGTATAAGAGCAAAGAGTCCATCTTTATAAATTTAACTTTTTCTACTTGCTTTGTTCCACAGATTTCTTTTGTCATTGTGCATTAGTGACAGATGATTAGTCTTCCTCTGTGGCTCATTTCCATTTCTCTCTCTTGTGAAGGTCAAGTATTCTCTAGGGGACAGCAGCTGTCTCCATGCAGTAATGAAGATAGTGTCCTCTCCTTCCTCCCCTCCCCTCCTCCCTCCCTCCCTACACCTCCTCCGCTCCCTGTGGCACGGTCGCCGTGACGCCGTACTCCACGCTCTCAGGGGAATCCCCTCGTTCTGGAAGAATGTGACCACGCCCCTCTCGGACCCTCCGTCTTTCTCTTCCCACAAACCCTCTAAGAGGAGCGGGCTGCCAATGGATTTATTTTCAGAATCCTCTCCCGAGGAACTGACCAATCAGATGATGGCTGCTTGTCATGTGATGCACATCGTTGCCATGGAGATGTACTATGTTATACAGTGAGTTGTATGTAACCATGGTGATAAACTTCCAAACTGACATGGAACAGAGACAAGCTGGATGACGGTCTCCAGTCCATTCTCAAAGACTTTGTCTCCAAAGATGGCATCAAGAACTGGAACGAGGTTATATAGTTTTCTTACTCTGTGATGTAATCATTATGTCATACTTATCTGTGGTATCTGCCATTTTGATAGCAGTATGATGTAATGGCTATTGCATCACCCACTGTTTGTATAGTGTGTGTGATGTAATCATTGCATCATTCTGCAGTGCCTGCTGTATCCAGCAAAGGATGTTTCGCAATCTTCCACGGCAGTTCTGCAAGCTCAGCATCAGCTAGTGATTGGGTGGAAGACATTCCTGATGGTTGCCACTAGCAACCAGCCTGCATTGTTTGGTTTTACCTCCCCATCCTCCCACCCCTCCCCCTCTCACCCTTCTCCCCCAACTCACATCATCACTGACATAGTGTGTGCTATAGAGTCTCAGCTGGCTGCTCCGGTTTCCATGCCAACAGTTGCCATGGCTACCGAGCTAAGTCTCCTGATGATGGTGCTGATAAAGAAGTGGAAAAGGTGATTTTTACTAAAACAGTGACTGTTATAGTCTAACCTTACACTTTTCAACAGTGCAGAACATATCACGGTAATAACATTGTATATCTGTTAATTTATTGTTCCCTGCAGCAATCTGCCGGGCTCAGAGGTGGGCGATCTGATTGGTCAGTTCAGTCACATGATGTCTCATGTGGTCCGGCTGGACTCGACGCAGGCCTCCTCTCTCTGTCTCCATCTCTACACCTCTGCCCACCTCCTCCTCTCCCTCTCTCACGCCAACAAAGGTCTGCTACAGAAACTTTATAGGGACAAAACCTCTTATTTTGGTGGCTAGCTATAATAACTCAGAGAGACCTGTTTAAATATTGCAGATTGCTGGTTCCACTATATAAATTTTACTGCCTACACATTAGCACTAAATTTTTCTCCCTTGTGAAAAAAGAATTTTCCTATATATACTTGCCCGATACTTTGCATCTTCCTAATATGGTCCGGTTCCCATGTCAGTGAGTGTGGAGACGAGATTCCTTCTGGGCCTCGTTCCATTCCTGTCCCACACTCTCCGCTGTCACCATGACAACTCAAAGGGACCCAGTCACAGGGTAAGCCCCTTCACCAATTATCAGTTGATGATCTAACATTGGCCCAACCCCCCAGCCTGATATCCAAGCAATGTGTCTCCTCTCCGAAATGGTGGGTGGAGTCTCTGACTGGTCTCCATGGTTACTGGCATTCAGAAACGAGTCCCTGATTCCACTGCTCATTCAGTCAGTAGACGAGAGGTTAAAGGTCAGAATTTTATCACGTACTCAATTGATTCTTTTATTAGTTACAATGGTAACAGATGCAAACCGATGAAGCACTTATTGAAGCAATACTGGGGGTGTTTGTTGCCATGGCGTCCAGTCAGCCAGCAGCTGAGGCTCTGTTGGTTAGCGGTCTCCTCCAGGTTTTGTCGCTCCCTCTTGCCAGTTGCCTTGACAACAAGCTAAACCCCGCCCCCCTCACTTCCAAAGTGAGCTCTTCCCAACACATTTTATAGTTTTGTGTGAAATGATTGTCGTACTTTTAACAACAATCTGAGGGAAATGACAGGGCTACAAACTAAGAGTTTTGTTTTGTGTTCAGTTGCCAGGCACCCCAGTTCTGAAGCCACACCCCCCGACGACGTGGTCCAGTGTGTGGCAGTTGAGTCTGCGAGTAGCTGGTCTCATGTGCCACACCCTCTCTCACCTCTCCCTCCCTTCCCTCCTCGACCTCGTCGGCACTCACCAACTGAGAATCACTCAGGTATAGTATACTGCCTTATGTCACCTTATTTTCATTTTTTTCCTATTAGTAGGCCTATGGCAGTGTTAGGGAGATCATAAAAAAATTTCAGATCCACATTTTGTCCACCAAACATACGTACCAACATTCACATAGCATTTTTTTCCTTCCTGGCAGGGTCTGGATGTGATGGTAGCCATCACGTCTCTGTCGTCGCTGGAGACGACGACCAGCTCTCTCTTCTTTCTCTGTCAGCTGCTGCGCCATCGACGACAGCTCTGTTTCTCTCTCCCTTCCTTCCACGACACGGCCCTCTCCGCCGCACTCTCTCTCCTTGCTGCCGTGGCAACCATCCTCTGTCGCCGAGCAACCCTCAAACACATCGTCAAGACGATGCACGCTGCAGGACTCTTGCCTTCTAATTACTGCCCACCTCCCACCAAAAGGGGGTGTGGCAAAGAGGGAAAGGAAGATATTTGGACAACTGGATGTGGTCTAAACTCTGCACTCGCTCGACTGCAGTCCGGGTGAGTTGACTCCCTGTTTAACCCTTTTCCATCAGGTGGATTATGGTTTTAACTCCATCCAGCCTCTTGTCTACTCTCCTGTCATGCATTGCCATTGTCCAGCATTTCAGTCCCTCCCTTAGCGACATTGTCACGGCAACAGTAAGTTTTTGCACGACAGTAAACTGAGCCTCTATAATGACTGTGGTTGGTACCAGACTCAGCTAGACAGAGATGAGTACCCATGCCTCTTCCTGCCTGCTGTGACTCCGCCCACCGTGGACCAGACCACACCCCCTTCCCTTGGAGCTCTGACGACATGTCTGTCAATAGGTCTGGAGCTAATGAGGAAGGTATGGTGTACATTCTTGCTACATGTTTCTGAATGTCAAATCCACATAATGCTGGGGTAAAACACTTCACATACTGATGTTCAGTGTTTCAGTGCATTATTCATACCCATACACTAACCAAACCCTCGCTCCCCACTGGCAGGTAGACCCCCACCAGAGGGTGTCGGGGACCCCAAACAAGTCAAAATCTCCAGCAAAGACCCCCTCCTCCTCAAAATCACCGTCCAAGTCCCCACGACCTCTGACCCCAGCGGAGCGGCAGCGGCAGCGAGAGGCGGTGGCAGTGATGGAGAGATCGGCAGTTCTCTGTGTGGGACAGTCCCTCTGCGCCCTCGCCAGCCACGCCCACTCCACCCACGATCTTCAGCTGATGAGCAAGGAATTGGCCAACGAGCTGGTCAGCTAATAGTCATGTGATTCAATGTCAATCACTATAAGTATGACAATGTTGTTGTTGTGTTTGTCCTTAAAACATACCCAAAACTGAGGGAACTCCCTCCAGAGGGAAAGAATTCTCACTTTCGAATTACGACATTGATACTGATTGCTTGTCTATGTATATACACCCTCCCTCCCCTCCCTCCCTTCCCTCCCCATTCAGAGCACATTCTGCCACTCTCTGTTACTGATTCTCAACAGAAGAAATACCTCCTCTGCATCCTCGCAGACTCCGCCCACCTCATATCAAGAGGCGTGGTCAGGGAAGGCGGGGCTTGCATTCTTGGAGACGAGGGAACAAGTGGTGTTCAGAGTGACGGACAGTTTCAGCAAACAACTCTTATCTTTCCATTAGTCTAATGTATTGCTGTCTATTCTGGATTGTGGATTGTACAATCTATTGTGGATAAAATTATTCATTAGCAAGTCTCGCAAGTGCTTCAAATCTAGAATGTCACCTCAGTTGGCGTAACCTTGGCTAGGTCGCATGCATTGCCATGTTTTCTTGCACATGCGCATGGAAGGTGAGTCTCAGGACGTGCGAGGTCGCGCCCCCCTGTCGGTAGAACTCCGAGCGTAATAAGAGACAAACCAACTATCCTCACTACTTTCACTACAATTGAAGTATGGAATAGTAACATACTTTTTCCCACTGCACCCATTCCTATCTCGTCCAAATTTCGTTGCTCCCCTAGCTGAGGGTGTCAATAATTTTGCATATATTCTAGGCACATGAGCGTAATAAGAGACAAACCAACTATTATTACTACTTTCACTACAATTGAAGTATGCAATAGTAATGTACTTTTTGTCGCTGAACCCATTCCTATCAAATTCAAATTTCGTTGCTCCCCTAGCTGAGGGTGTCAGGGGAGCAACGAAATTTGGACGACATATGAATGGGTGCAGCGAGTAAAAGTATGTTACTATTCCATACTCCAACTGTAGTCAAAGTAGTAATAATAGTTGGTTTGTCTCTTATTACGTTCATGTGCCTACAACAAATGCAAAATTGTTGACACCCTCAACTATAGTGGAGCAACGAAATTTGAATTTGATAGGAATGGTTGCAACAAGAAAATGTATGTTACTATTCCATACTCCATATGTAAGGAAAGTAGTAATGATAGTTGGTTTGTCTCTTATTACGCTCATGTGCCTAGAATAAATGCAAAATTGTTGACACCCTCAGCTAGGGGAGCAACGAAATTTGGACGAGATAGGATTAGGTTCAGCGAGTAAAAGTATGTTACTATTCCATACTCCAACTGTAGCCAAAGTAGAAATGATAGTTGGTTTGTCTCTTATTACGCTCATGTGCCTACAACAAATGCAAAATTGTTGACACCCTCAGCTATGGGAGAA